GTGATTATGACTAAGCATGATTGTCATTGAGTAGGAGGTTACAATCAGGATCAGGTTTTCGGTATCCATTTATTCAAACCTCCTTCCTGTGCCATTCAGACTGTTCAGATTTACAATTTAAATCTTTACATCACCACAATTATTTCACTCAATTTACAATCATGTCTGCGTCAATAAATCATCTCCAAATGGACGTCACACTTTCATTCAACAGCTCCATTAAAGGAATGCCATGTGAATTTTTAATACATTGTCGTTCAAAACCAGTCACATGCAACAATGTAACATGCTTAAAATTTATTCGAAAGGAATAATTTTTTTATCGTGCGATTCTTTAACAAATAAATTATTCAATTAAGAAAAAATATGAACAAAAAAGAATACACACTCCTCAACCTTAATATGCTTCAATAAAATTAATTTCTCTTTTATGTTTTTATCATCAGATCCCCAGCCCATACGAAATTCCATAGCGGAAAATGAGAGCACAATTTGCCTGTGCAACAATGTATCCAGAATAAAGCGTTGTATCGAGATAACATAAATTAATCTCTGTTTTTCGATACTTTTTCTTATTCTTCTTCTTCCCGCTGGCATTTGCCACTGTTTCTGTCTCGTTCACCTACGAAATTGATGCTTGCAATTCCCTTTCCATTAGTTTATTTAATGTTTATGGTTACTTCTTCTTTCACATTTTCGTACATGAAAAAAAAATATAATATTTATTTCCAACACGAGAATTCGCAAATATAAAAATATTTTTCATGTTCTTGACTTTACAATAACAACAAACATTGTATGTTCGTAGGGAGTAAAGAGCTTTAGACTTAAGAAATGATTATTACAAAATAAAAGGTAAAGTGCATTTTTGTTGGCGTAGACCCAAAACCACATTTGAACAAAACAAGTCGATTAAGGTTATCTTATTGGATTCTGGGTAATTTAAGCGCATTTCCAAATTTTCTAGGCCATTTCCTGCTACAATATTGCGAATAATACGGAATTTAAGGCATTCCACATATAAGATCATGAAGTTATGAATTTTGAGGTAGTCCTCTGACTTGTTAGGATGTTAACTCAAAGCATGAAACATAAAGGAGCTCTGCAGGCCACTGTGTGTCTCAGGATAACAGTTTAGTAGTTTTTCTAGCTTTAAAGCTTTTCATAATCACCTTCCTAGATCTGGACTGTCTGTGTAGGATCAATAGAATTTTTTAAGAATCCAAGGGACCTCAAAGAGACAGGAAGCAGTCAAAATAGCTATTTATGCATTAATTTCAAACATTTTATAAAAAAAAACTCCTGCTCTAGCTTTTAACTCAATTTCAGACCCCTCTCCTCCTTGATATGACCCCCAGCATCAACAATTCAATGCAAATCCCTCAAGATCCAGTTAATCAGCTCCTTGTTTGTAAACTCAATATCATCATATCAAGATAAAGAGATAAATAAGCTCCAGATATAAAATATTGACATTCCAACCTCCTTAAGTCAATTTGATCAGCGTAAAAAAAGTCAAAACAAAATTATTAATGCACATATATCCACACAAAAAATAACATTGCCCCAAAAATAAACCATAAATAAAAGAGAGACAGAGAAAGGAAGCGATAAGAACGTAAAGTTGTAGATATTTTTACAAAGAATCAGAAATAACATGCTGACATCATGCAACATTGTTGTGAAACACAAAAAAAATGTAAAGCAGATCAGCATAAAGTTTGTAAAGAAAGAGAAAATAAGTAAAGAAAAAAAGTATTTCAAGTGTAAGGAACAAAACAACACACGACATACATCCAAGTAGATTTAATAACAATCTTAAAGTGAATCGCAACAAATACGGGAGACAACGAACGTCGACGACGATATAATGATATCTTTCGCGACTAATCGCATTACGATAAAGTAATTATTTTACATCTTACACACATATTAATGGAACTAGAGGGAGAGACCGAGAGACAAGTAGATGAGAAAAGAGGCACAAACAGACGATTTTAATGTTTTTTAAGAAATGGTTCGTTGTGGATTTATTTCCATTTACTGTGCATTGCTCAAAATAATAACATTCCACTGTAATTTTTCAAACACGGCTTCTGCTTGGTGTCATTTGTTGGTGATGTCTATTGAAAATTTGGATCATATTGAATCTACGGTGGGAATCGAACACACATCTGAATATAATGGAAGGTTACAATTACCTAGCCACTGAGCCACATAGATTTAGATATCTTCTTGGCAGGCTCGCCTATAGACGGATCTTTACTTCAGATTCTACTCAATTCTGACTCTTCAAGATCCTAGTGCCATAGATGAAGCATATAGTCTAGATCTATAGCCACAAATTCCAAGAAAGATTGACTCTTCATCCCAGAAACCTATTGCCTACTTCAAAAACTGCAGTTATCTAGAAATCCAGTGCATTTAAGCGCTTAAAATCTCTCCTTATTAAAACCTAGACATGACAAGTGAACAGCCCCATCGGCTTACAATTTTTTTCGCTCATGAATTGATCAGAATTGATTACCGACTTAAGAAGATTACTGACTTTGTTCCAATCGTCTCCGTCTAAATGTACCAATTCAATTTACATCAATTTATAATTTAAAATATTGCAGCAAATAAAAGGAAGAGAAATACGAAAAAAATACTAAAGAATCTGCAACATTGTTGCCAAAGCACATGCATTTTTGCGTTGGTTGGGTGTGTTTTTCATTCAGTTACATTTCGTATGTACGATTGTACATGATTTGTATACAAAAACAGCATATTTTGCGCGCCAACTTCATTCAATTTAAGTTTACGATCAGAAAAAGAAATAACAAGCGCAATTGTAAAAGGAATAAGCATGTTGAGACAAAGAGGAGATGCTGAATGCGGTGATTGTGACAGTTGAAATATTACGGAATATAAAGTGAATAAATTTTTTAATGATAACAGAAATGGATTATTAATTTTGTTGGATCTAGCATGTAATTTCTTATTTCAATACTTTTGTGATAATTAATGATGGAAAGACGCTTGGGGATTCTTCGTGTAGCATAATTTTTCTTTATATCGACTGTGAAGCAATTTTGCAACAATGTAGATTAGTATGAGATTATTATGAATTGATCTTGGAGATGGAATGTTGATCGAGTAGTTGTAAACTAGGAGGTTCGAATCTTAGCTTAAATTGATTTTAACTAGCTTCGTTGGTTGGACAGACGAGAAGTTTGTTACCCACCAGACTCTAATCTCTCAATACTAGCATTCCAAAAAGTTTAAGCCGGTTCAAGGTTTGATTCTCAACTGTCTTGCCTCTACAATCTTATATCTAATGGACATTGACACAAACAAGTTAAGAGATTAGTCTACATCCACTCAATTGATTATAACCATAGACCAAAGCATGATCGATTGTCACTGTACTCTAATATCAAGTCTCATTCGAACCTGATTTAAAATTAAAAGCAATTTCAATTCAAGTAGCGGAATTCCTTACACACGTCCATATAAAGTCCGACGTAGTCAAATCGACAAGCAAATAGCAAATGAATATGAAAAACGCACCCAGAACTGTAATCAATAATAAAATAGATATAGCCTCACCTCATTACATTAAACTACAAAACTGATTAAGAAAGCTCATTTATTAGCCAGTAATCCGCGAAAAAAATCTCTCGTGCTAGACAGTAGTGATAATAAACTTTAGTTGAATTATTCATTTTTCATCCATAGAAATGCATAAAGTCTACAATTAACAACATTTTATCATCCCCAAGACCTGCATTAATTTGTGTTTTTGCATTTTTCATTCTGATCTTTTTTCATATTATTGGATATTACTTAGCACATAGCCAGCGAAGCTAAAGAGAAAGAGGAAGAAATTATTGTTTGTAATTTTTTTAATTAAATTCCAGTTTCCAATAATAATGGCTTTTAATCTCTCATACAATGTCAATCTAAATACACAGCATACAGTCACAACATCATTGGAATGTAGATTTATTACGCATGGCGCTACATAGACGATCGATTCCGTCGACATTGATAATCATCATAAAAATAAATTTTTCCTTATCCATGCATGCGAGAGAAAAGATAGTTAAATGACTAAGAGAATGCATAAATAATTACATTCCTATAGCTTGCATCAAATGATACTTATCGCCATTCCACTTGCGACTCGTTTATTACGCCCATCGCTTACTTTTTATAATTTCAAAACACACATGCACTTTCATGTCGTTTTAATCGCTTTAATTTGCTTCGTCTTAAGCTTGACGCTTTGACTTTCTTCATTCCAATGAAAAAAAAAAAGATATTTAAGTGCACAGTCACATGACATACACGAGAATATAAAATTGAGATAAATAAGTCAAAATGATTGGGAATTGCACACCTTTTTCAGTGGATTAAAATGTAATTTAGTTTTAGTTCAAAATCGTATTGATGTTCGATTATAATTAAGTATGAGTTTAATGGCTTGTTATTTTCAATAAAAATCAGGCAATTTTGTTTATTAAAGTATAATGAGAAGTTGACTTGTATGAGAGTGAATATATTGGAATTGAAGGATCGGAAGTTAAGGAAAGCGATTTATATGTTGGAAAATCTGCAGGAGTAAGGAAGTAGGAATTATTAGAGCTAGGTCTCTATGGCTAGTACAAAAGACAGAAAAACCTTTGAATCTTACCTTTGAATCTTGGACAGACGAGGGTTCAATTCCCATCAGTATAGGGCTCTAGAGATTCTGTTAAATTCAAGCACGACTTTGCCACAATAAATAAACTTTTAATTGATTGTAGCAGCATGTAGCATAATCATCATCAGCTCATAAAATTCCCACTTGCTTCTTTAAATATTCAACATCATTACAATCAGTTGTTATGCTGCGCTTTTGCCTTGTAGCTATTCAACAATCATTTTTTTATGTTCTTCTATTTATTTATTTTTTTTTCAATTTCTTGTTTCACAATAATTATTACAACATTCCAATGTATATTTATTATTTATAGATGGGGAGTATCTGTTCGCCGATCCCGAATCCAAGCTATCAAAGTATGGCCCGAAAAGTTGGCGATCATCGCACACACACGTAAGCATAACTTATTACTATTAATAACAATAATAATATTTTAATGTGTATACATGGAAGAATGTGCTTAATAATTTTTTTTTTTGCTTCTTGTATCTTTTTTTGTACATTAGGGTCTCGATGCGAATGGCAAACCTCTCTTGGAATTTCACTTCCGTGTACAATTCTACATTGAGAGTCCGCTTATGTTAAGAGATGAAATAACACGACATCATTATTATTTGCAATTAAAAACGAATGCTGTACATCGGGATGTACCAAAGGAGTGCTCAGATCAGTCATTACTCCTACTTGGTGGCCTCTCATTACAAGCCGATTTTGGCGATTGTCCCGATGATTCACAGTCACAAACAGATTATTTTCGTCCCGATGATTATATACCAACAGCATTACGTACAACTTGGGGCATATCAGCATTGCATTCTTGCCATAGAGAGAATCGTGGAATGTCACGTGCAGATGCAGAGACGCATTTCATAAGAGAAGCATGTGGACTTCATGAAGCCATAAACGCTCATACATTTAGAATGAAAAGTAACAAAAATGAAAATGGTGTTGGTTCAGTTATGTTAATTATTTATGCTAAAGGTATCAAGATAGTTAATGAGACAACTCAACCGATTACATTCCTATGGCCGTTAATAAGTAAATTAAGCTTTGATCGTAAAAAGTTTGAATTGAGATCGGGCGACAATAAAATAACACTTTATTCGGGTAACGATGATAAAAATAAGATGCTGTTGGCATTATGCAGAGAGACTCATCAATTTTCTATGAAAATTGCACCACGTCTAACGGAAGCGATAAAGCGTGAAGAAGAAGAGAGTAATTGCATTCATGCATGCTACCTTTATTCTCGTGCATTAAACATGCAATATAAGAGCAAAAATGATCAAAGAATATCTGTTATATCGAGCACAAGTTCTAATACAACATCGGGCATTGTCAGTGATCGCGTGCATTCGGAGGATGAATTAGAGATTTTAATAAATACTCCACCTATTGCGGCACCCTCAACTGAAAGTCTCGCACTTGCACATTTACTCGATTGTCCGAGTGTATCGCGACAAACGTCATCTGTCGGTCAGGTGTCACTTAAAGATATTGGCGACACATTTGCTGCATTATCCGTTCGATCAAATACACGATCAACAAGTAGCGAAGGAACGGAGACACTTAAGGAGCGTAATAGCGAGAAAGATTCCGATGTCTCACCTACATCACATAATGTTGGATCACAATGTTCTTCAACGTGTAGTACAATCGTTGTTGTTGCATCAGATTCATTATCGCTTTCACCTCATAGTAAGGCGCAGCATAATAGCAGTAGTAGCAATGGTAGTGGGCGTCGACAGTCGTCGTGTAGTAGTTTAGAATTAGGTTTTAGTCATACAGCACAGAATTCAACTGTAAGTGAACTTACAACAAATTCAGTCAATGATAATCATCATTTTGATGGCACTGATGAACAGAATGATGATGATGAGACAATTTCCGGTGTATATACACTTGATGATCATGTTGCACCAACAGAAACAAGTGGCGTTTACACAATGAATAGTAGTGAACTCACGGGTCAATCATCGGAAATTGCAGAATCGGAATCACATGAAAGTTCACACTACGGAAGCTTCCATCCAAACAGTGAAATGGGTGATAAGCTTGTTGTTAATATCAACATCGATTCTGTCGATGGAGACTTCCGACAGCGACTCGATAGTGAAGAAAGTCAATTTAGAATGAGATCTGATTCGAACATTAGTGCTGCTGGTTCATTCCGTGGTGATGGAAGTGATCCAACTGATTCTATACACAATCCATTAACAGCAGAGGAACTGACAGATTTGATTGTTGGACGAGGTTCATATCCATCACGTAAGACAGTTAGCAATACAATGGATTCAGACTGTGATTATGTCACACTACCGATTCCATTGGAAGGTGAAAGTTATTTGCAAGGAAGTGAGGACACAGCACCAACTGAAGATGAATATGAGAAAGATTTATTGGAAGTTAAACCGCCTGCACCACCACAAAGAATTGACAGCATGTCTCTATCGAATCTTGTTGAATTACCAAAACCGCCACCATATAATGCACATCACGAAAAGACGGGCCTTCGTGGTCCAGATATTTCACCTGAAATTCCATCACTTCCTATCAGAGAATCTCAAGTTTATCCTAGAAAGTCATTGCGTTCACTCTCAACTGTCATACCTCCGTCGACAATACCCGAAGAGACACCTGCACGATTTATAACAACGCGACCTCACATAAATATTCTTAAGGCACATACGTCACTCGTTGGAGAGTCAACTAAGCCAAGCTACGCTGCACCAACAGTCAATACGATTAATAATCTCTCACAATCACCATTACCAACGACATCGTCAGCAACATCATTATCTCTAGGTATTCCCATTGTACCATATCACAATTTGCACGCTAAAAGTCACTTATCACATTCCTCACGATATCCCGAAGCAAAATCAGCACCAAGAACTTGCGTTCTATTGCCAGTAATAAAGCCTAGATCACAGCAATATGTTCCTCCACCATCTATGCCTACAATGCAAAGACAGCCCCCACCACCTCCTCCTCAACTTGCCACAGTCTATACAAGTCAACTTGCACGATCCCAAATAGAATTATATCAGCAACAGCTTTATAGTGATGTAGATTATGTAATTTATCCATTGCAAGATCCAGCTGTGAGTCAACAAGAATATCTTGATTCAAAGCAAGGATCAATATTAGCTGCAATGGCACAAACACAACCACCGCCATATCTTGCATATCACACTGTCCGTGCACATAATAGAAGTTGGGATGGTAATCATGCTCTCTATCGTAGCACACCATTTTTATCAATGGCAATCTCATCACCATCACGTTATGCATCGACACAAAATTTATCTGACACATATGTGCAATTGCCAGGTGCATATTCACCACTTTATAGTCCATCTGTTGCAAGCTTATGTTCATCATATGACGCACATACGATGCCACCACCTCCATTACCACCATTAAGACCACCGAGAATTGCACCAACGACAACTGTCACATCGTCGTCGATTTTCTCACGATCAAGATCTGATGATAATATTTTAAATTCAATAGATGTAACGCCAAAATCACGTAGACCAATTCCAATACCACCTGCTTATGATAAGAAACCAATTAGAAAACCACCGATGCCGGTGCCGTTTGAGTGCACAGAACTACCGCCTTCTGGTAAGTTAAATAAATGAGAACCTTTATTGTCATTTGATTAATAATCAAATTGCAATCTTTTTGTAGTACCCGCAAAGCCATCGACACTGAGGTCTTCATCAACTTCATCAATCCTGAAGTCGCAATCGAAGTCTTCAATGAATTTAACGACAGTCGAGACATCATCAAAAATGGCACTTACACTTGCAGATGTTAGCAAAACGACATCCTCAAGTTCAAAACCGATAGATTTGAAGGATCTTAAACTTTCACATGTCATCTGCCCGGAATCTAATAAAATTCTATGTACACCGGCAACACTAGCACAACAGCAAATAGACATAAATATTCTACGTGAGAAAAGCAAGCATCTTGATTTGCCTCTCATCTCAGCATTATGTAATGATCGTTCCTTATTAAAGCAAACAAAAGCCTTTGTGATGCCAAAACCATCGAGGTCATCACTTCAAGGTCTATCACATACATCGTCAAAAAGTAAATATCCTGTATCAGGATTAAATACAACACAATTGACATCGACGAAGGGTAGAAAGACGACAATAAGTCATCGACATCCAAATGATAAATTGCCACCATTACCCGTACAAGAGAAGAGTGGTAATAAAAATAATTACGTTATGGACCCGATACCGCTTAAGCAAAAGACAAATCAACAAAATACAAATCTTTAAGGATGACGGATGTCCTGAAAATTTTAAATTTTTATTTTGCGATTAGAAATTTTTTGATTATTAAAAGAAAAATCATTTTAAAAATGATTAAATTAAGTAATAGGTGAAGATAAAGAAGTTATATTGAAAATCAGGGCTACATTTAGAACTTATTATGCTTTTTAATGTTTAAGGATATAAAGAGTAACTTCTCTTTTTCGACTTTCATGAGACCAAAAAGAACCTTTTTTGGCTTCATCCTGAAGAATCTTACTAAAATTATCGAAATATTGTTCTATAGAATTTTAGGGTAGCTCTCTGAGACATATTTGGTAATTTTGGTATCTCCTTCAAAACTCTTTAATTTAGTAAGAAAAAAAAATATTTAAAAAAAAATTCCGCATTATTTTAATGCACACAAAAATAAAAAATAAAGAAATAGTGTTAGAAAATTTACATAATTTTGCCATACACATTCACATCAGCAGTCAATCAAAAATAATCTTTTTTTGTTAAGGTTAAATTAATGAAATTCTTAGTTGAATGTTAAATAAAAAAAAAACAAGGTGAGGATCAAATTGAATTATAAAAGACATGTAGGAAAATGAAGCTCCAGCTGATTGTGTGGTTGTTGCTTGATGAATAGAGATTGAGATTGTGTTGATTGAGGATTAGTCTACAAGGCTTGAAATGTTCTAATCTTGCAAAGAAAACTATCTTAAACTTAAGTTGAATTTTATAAATTCTCGGCTTTTGGTTTATTTGTTCTTGTTAACCTAAATCCGAACAGAGTTCGAATTTGACAAGATTAGTTTTCGAATGTTAAGAATTCTTTGATAAACAATTGATTCTAATAACAATGAACTCATTTCGACATAAATTCTATCAACTCTAATTCTTCAACTCCAATCTGGACCAAAATCCTCCAAACAACAATCACACAAACACCAGAAGTAGCAATTTAACATAAAAAGAAAGTTTCGATCAAAAAAAACTTCAAAATTCGTACATAATTTAAATAAGAATAAAGAAATTTGCTCAATTATAAGGAAAAGAAAATAGCTTAAATGAGAAATAAATCACATTCACATCAACAATTAAAGAAATAGAACTTTATGAGAGAAAGAAAAAAATTTTAAAATTAAATTAATGAAAAAAAAGCATTTAGAATTGTTCAACAATTTTTTTGTAATTAAGTACTCAAGATGAAAAAAATTTTAGATTTTAAGGATGAAAAAAAAATTATTTTGTTACTTTGAAACATTCTGCAGAATGCAATTTAAAACAATCTGGAAAATGATGACTTATATATTACATATATATACATAAACAAAAATATATAACATACATTCTATGTTGAATAATTGATAATAAAAATGACAAAAATTATTCTTTTAAAAAATTAAATTAAAACTTTTATTTGTTAAAATTTTGTTCTTTTATTACAGAAAAAAATGTTTCCAGCAGTTTTATTGACAAAATTCGGTCTGTCTAAGATCAATAAGCATCAAAAATATTCATAAAAATTTTCATTTCTTTCTTCATCTATCTACTTTTCATTTTAAAGGATAAATGATCAAATTCGTGAAGTTTTAAAATTTTTGTTCAATCCATTGCTTAAATATCTTGATCTGATTTGATTATATTGTTAATTGATGGTTAAAACGCTGTAAAATCGCAACTGGATGTCTAGAAATCAACAATATCAACTGTTTTGTTGTCAACTTAGATTGCATTAATCGTTTTGGAAGTTGGGCAAGCTTTTAATGCCAAAATTAAACAATTTCATTCAAATTTTATTTCAAGATTTCGATATTTTTGATCATTTATCCAATAAGCATCCAGTTTTCATAAACATTGCACCTCACATTTATATAAAGTCTTTATGACAGTTAACATAGGGTCACTTTTAAATTTGATTAATTTCAAGTCCGAATTTAATTTTAAATCATGAAATTTGTTACTTTTGAGGAGTCGATACTTCTCCATAGATTCAATCAAATTGTCAATCATGAATTCCTTCTTTTTTCCACTTAATCAAGCTTCAAATTGACTATTGAACTATTTAAGTATCCACAATTTTTTGTTATTTACAAGTTCATTAATCCTGTCTTCGTTTCGTTACACTCTCTTCTAAAAATAATAGCCAGAAAAACTAATGCTTTTTTGGAAATCTCTGTAAGAAGTATTTACAACTCAATGTCTTTATTCTCATAATGTGTCCATCAACTTCATCTTCAAGCCCAAAAATAAACACTTATTCTCGTATTCAGATAAAAAGAATCGAAATTCTCTTTTGCAAAGGAAACAAAAATGTAAAAAAAATTATCACACACTACGCGTGTCCATGAATCGTATTTAATTATATGTTTTTTAGTAATCACCATCATCTCATTCTATGCTTAATATTTCCTTCTTTGTTTTGTCATTGACATGAGAGCAAGTATTATTAACAATATAACGGTTAACAATATATTTATAAATTGAAGCACATAAGCTCCAAATTGTTTACACTTTATGTGCCTTATTTGTCCAATTTAACAATAATTGTCTCAAGTGCTGCAATTTTGAAATTATTGAAAAAGACTTTATTCTTTTTTGCTGGACCAAGTACAAGCTCGCCACTGTAGTAAAATGCTGATATGTCTAAAGATAAATTTTCCGGTCCGAGATTTGTGATTGAGACAATTGTATTCCTGCGTGGAAAGGTCCTCTCGATTATCAATAAATCGTCCTTATTTGCGCGTATGTGTGTATTTAAATATGCTGTATTTCCATCCTTATTAAATGAATTCATGTACAATCCAGGTGTAATTTTACGTAAAGCACATGCATCAATAACATAGTCAAGATGCTCATATGATACTAAAGCTGATTTCGGTAACCAAGGCAATACTTTTTGATTTGTAAATTTGACAGTTTGATCAGTAAATGGCATTGTTGGAAGATGATGCAAGTGCTTTGTTTCAATATGAACATTATCCGGGTCATTAACATCACCCATCGAAAGTTCATCACCATAGAAAATGTTTGGAGTTCCTGGTAGCATCAATTCCATGAGCAATCCAGCAAGTGAAGCATTTTGATTTATAGCCATTGACATTCGTCGTTTGTCAATACCATTTAAGCTCCAATGAATCCATGGACCAAACTCTGTTGGCTTTAATTTTCCTTTTAATATGGAATCAACTTTATGTTCAATCGATCGTGTGCCATTTGTAATATCCAGAAAGACGTCAATTAAGTCGATACATTCGAGAATTTCATCAGCAACATCTTCGGATACACTTTTAATTAACGACTCATTAACAATCATAATTCTATCATTGCCAAGCACATATTTCCATTCTCGTATATTCTCCATTAAGTACTCATCATCAGCAAAGTTTTCTAAGCCTTTCAAATAGAATCCATCGATGCCATGTGCCAACCAAAATCTCATAACATTTGTAATGCCATTATTATCAATTATGCCTCTCTCAACGCGTCGATATTCATCGATTCTCATCTCATTAGCATTATTATTAATAGTCTTATGCGTCAAATTGCTCATTGTTGTTGATGGCTCTAATCGTGTGTAAAGTGGATATAACGGTAAATCCAATATTAGTGATATGTTTTTTGAATGAAGCTCCGCCACTAAATACTTCATATCATCCATTGTACCAAGCTCTTTGCTAATGTTCATTAATGTGTCAATATTTGTGTAATCTTCAGGATAATTTTTTGCAGAAAAGATAGAATTAAGACGAATGGCACCGATTGATAGATTTTGGAAATACGAGACTTTGTCGGCAATGCCACGAAGATCTCCAACAGCGCTGCCTGAAAAAATGAGAATTTGTTGAAGCATGAGTGTGATTAATTGGGTGAAAATTGAGTGAGCTAACGAGATAAATGACTTTAACGCTTAGGAGTCGTGCTTAAATGACGTCAATATACAATCCAAGTTAGCAACATCTTGAAGCCCTCAATTTTATAACCATAAATTAAAAGCATTGACTTACCATCAGAATCCTTGAAGCTCGCTGGAAATATTTCATAGAAAATACTTCCTTGATACCATTTAATATCCGGACTGCAAATCCTTGGTAAATTATACATCATACCCACAACTATAGCGCACATCGCAAATATACCCGATAAAAATATAAAGAATGTGACCTTCCTTATCATCGGCCAATTCCATTTAACAAATGATGGCAAGTCCTTCGAAAGAGGGATGTTTAAGGCATTCAAGTATTCAAAGTTTATGTTTCCATGCTTCTTCTTCTTCGCATTTCCATTCTCCTAGAAGAGTAAATAAAATTTCTTATACTTAATAAAAAAAGACAAATAAATTTGATCTTGAGACAATAATAAACAGACGCAAGCACTTACTTGATGATGTAAATCTCCATTTTTATGTAAATGATGATAATTTGTTCCCATACCAATTGCAGATGTGATCCCAATTCCCGAGCTACTAGATGATGAAGATGTATCATCATTCTCAACTGTATCGTCAGCTGTGTGAAAAAGAATTTTAGAGGTGTATATTCTTCTTATTATGACGTCAATCAATAGCTCGTTACGTCACTCATTTGGAAATAACAAGAAATTTCTAAAAGAAAAATTGCGTCTTAAAGAAATGTACTTACGATTATCGGATACAATGCCAGTACTAGGGGTCAATGGATGACTATAATCAAGTTGAAGTTGAAGCTGTGGACTAGACGTATTATGTAGTAATGGACAAATTGATGCATCTTCTTCTGCCATAAAAGTCGATTGAGATGGCGAGGTTGTAAGTGACTCTGGCAATTGCAGAAATGATGCCTCAGAATTCACATTCAAGTGATTCATCTTTCAATATCTATTCAAGACTTGTTCACTGTGCAAAATTCAGCTCTGATCTGCGATGAAAATCGCTTTAAAAATTATTTTTTTCTGTAGACTCGATAAAAAATTGTCTCTCTTTTCCGTATCTTTGCCTTTATATCATGTTCAATTGAATCAATTAGCACTAATAAACTTTAAATGTTTACAAACAACCAATTCTGATCGAGTATTGAACAGTTTAAGTAACTTTTTGATCAGATTTTAATTTTAAAAATTTAAATTTTCTCTCTTCTCGCTTTTAAGGAACGTATGAAAATGACCTGAAATAGATAAACTCAGTGTGAGGAAATATGAAAATTTTTCTGTATATATTTTTAGTCGAAATGAGAAAGTTGGAAAATTGGAAATGAATAGACATGCGCAATAGCATGTAAACATGAATATCCACGTGATTTTTTTTTTCTTCTCTCGTACTCATCGGCGCCTGCATGTGTGTTTGCTATTATTATTCGATATTCATTCATATGTTAGCACATTGTAGAGACGATGACAAGCTCATCATGATTGTGTCAATTCTTTAACCATTTGGAGATGTGGCAAATTACTTCCACTTGAAATGATAAGCGCACGTCATGAGGAAAATTGATGTAATTTTTGCGCTGATAAGATTAATTTGGTTCGTTCAGAAGAAATGATTTATAAAATGATCGAGTTCAGGTTGAATCAAACCTGTGCCGGTTTTTAAGACTTAACGGATCCCCTTCTTTTAGAATCAAAATTCCAAGAAGTTGTAAATAAAATTAGACTAAGGCTAGTGATGAGTTCCCCAATTATTGATAAAAACCAGCTGCTACTGTAGCAAATTCACGTGCTCAGCTATGTACATACAAGGACAATACGAATATTAATAGTAAATCATATTTAGAACTGATTAAAATATTGACAGTGATAAGAATAGAATTAAATGCGAAGCATGATTTCATTTTCATTGATAAGGTCGAATTCATGATTTTCAATGAACTTGTTAGGAAGGAATTACGATGAACTCTAGCTTTGAGGAAGGGTTTGTAGTTTTAGACTATCAGACTAGCATCTTACACAATTGTCTGAAGATAATGAGCAAAATGTCAAACTGAAATTCAAATGACAATTCTCTCAATCTTTATAACATTTTCAATAAAAATTTCAATTTTAAAAAAAAGTCGCAATATAGTAAAACCGCTCATAAAGTCGCTATTCTACTTTGTGAAAAAAAGTTTACAAACTTTAAATGAAAATTAACCTCAATTAAATATTTTATAACTTAAATACATTTTAAAGCTAGTGTCAAGGGTCAAGCAATTAATGATCACATTGTAAAATGCTCTGAACAGATCAAAAACTAAAAAGTCAAATTTCAAAATTCCTTAATCTCATTGGAAATTTTGTGTACAAGCCTCCACATCATACGTCATTAAGACGCACTAATGAGAAAAATACTCTTATCGTCATGAAATTATTGTTTCTTAATAACCCCAATAGAGCAACAAACGTTCTCAAGTTTTTTTGTTTACAGTTCATGTAATGAACACACCCTGATGGCAATATTGAGAATTATGAATGAATGCTACATTTTATAATTGTTGAATCTTATGATGCTGATAATAATTTATTGAACTGCTTCAAACTGCATCTTAAAATGTGGTATTGACTGGATGTTTTAAGATTAAGAAAAATCAATATGAAATTTTGTCAATATAAAGGTTGTGTAGCATATCAAAAATATCACGATAATTTGCCAATTAGAAGCAAAATTTGATAATAAGAAGATTATTAGTAAATGATTTTTGATTCAATAATATTGACTTTTCAGCTTTTACTAATCAGTATTACATTATTGTACTGATGATAAATGGTCAAAAACAATCAGTAATATTGAATTGATATGGAAAATTGTAACTCCGAACTTAATTGCTCATTCCAATTTACTTGAACTTTTTTAAAAATTTAAATTGAGAGAACTTAATAAATCCAGAGCAAATCATTCAAAATTCTTTTCAACATTCTCAAAATTCTCTCTGAATCATTTAACACAATTCCTCTTAATGACTGCTGATAAGACAAAATAGTCAACCAGCTCATTTCGCTGTATGTTCTTAAAGTCAAATAAAAATATGGATGAGTCCACAAAGAAGAAGAAATTCTATTTTTAACATGTAAACAAAGCAGATAATGAAGTTTTTCAAAGGTCGAGAATATTGAAGCATTTAGCATCAACAACTACTGCTTATAATGAATGAAATCTTTTAATAATGGAAGCTAATGGAAGGAGTGTACTTTTAATAAAATTCATAAAGAAACATGAATTCTTGAGAATTTTTGCTAATTGTTGCTCACCTTAGAGACAAGATTAGGATTTTTTTGGGAGTCATTTTCATGAGATTTATTCTTGTTGCTAGTTTGCAATAATGCAGATTAAACGAGAAAGACCGAAGAACTCGTGAATTGGATGATTTGAAAAGGACGCTAGACTCCTTAATATCCCGAACTGATAGAAGGTTTCTAAGGATAGAGCTGTCTTCAGACGATCTCTAAGAGCGGCAATGAGACTACGTGCAATTCAGCCAAGGAAATAAGTAAGTAAGTAAATAAGGATCAATATATGCTCATTGCTTTGCCTGGTAACATATGAAGCTAGTTATTGGCAACCTTGGTAAATCTCATAAAAAGAATCTTGAATCTCTCTGTTAAATTCTAATTGAATTACAGCCTTTCCATCCGTTTCATTCTAAATTGAACAAATTAAGATGATCGTCCAACCTTCTAGGTTTATTAGATAACCAATTTTACGTCACATTTAATGACTTACATTTCTGAAGAAAAAGTAATTTATTATCAAAAATTCAGAGGCCTACATAAAAAAATGCCTAGTAATCACTCAAATGCCATCATATACTAAAAGATGAACCCTTGAAAATTATGCTATTAGTACAATGATCTCCTTTTCTTGACCATAATTTACATCAAATAGCGCCTTTATGACAATTAAATAGCTTTGAGATTAATGAATTCATTCAATACATAACAGATTCATATATATTAATGACGAGTAGACATGTTCAACTGATAACCTTTCTTCCACTATCTACATGTACTATGCGAAAATATCACTTTGGGAATGAATTTGTTTGAGATGTCAGTTAATTCCGAGATTTCATTGAGTTGAGAACAAAAAATTTGAATATTCGTCAAATTTTTAATTAAGATTTAATTTTTTTGAAATTTAATGTAATTAAAAAGTGAGTGTCAATAGTTTTCGGTTAAATTTCAAGTTGCGCACCTGATTCATTGATCTTGATCATCGGGTGTTCAATTGCAAGTTAGAATAATCAGAAGAAAAAAATAAATTAAAAGGTTTCCTTTTACTTAATAATGATAATATATAATATCAAAAAATTCATTATAAAGTATATTGACGCATCATAAAATTGATTCTATAAAGAACGAGAAGAAGCTTGAACACTTTCTCTTGATATTCATCAATTTTCTAAGGAAATAGTTGAGTAAGTTGATTAAAAAAAACCGTGGTAAAGTTTGATATAATTTGAAAATTATTAAAAGTTGACGGATTTAAATTAAATTCTAATTCTTGGCTGAAATGGTGAATAAAATTGTTTGAATTAAGTTTTGACTGAGTTGCAAAAAGATACTATTCTGTAAAAATTATTACAAATTAAAGAATTTATGGTTGTTTGTCATTACACGAACAGAAGTGTAAAGTCGTTGATTGTGGTAAATTAATCGAAGCTGTTTAACTGCAAACGAAAATCTTCTACTGCTTAAATTCAATAAAGGTTAATTGAACCAATTTCTATAGTTTTTGAACCTTTCCAACTTTGAAAATTGTAAAATTTAGAACCAGGTGTAGTTTTAGTTGAATCTTTGCAAGATTATCAAGTTCTACAATGTTTGAAATGTCTTAGTTCACCGTCGAACTAGAAACGAGGTTTACAACGTGATTCTTAAACAATTGTTAAAAAAAAAAAAAATATTTTCTTTTATTGTTTTCATAAAAAACTTCCTTTTTAAAAATAGAAATAGATTTTTATAGTAAATAAACGTAAATGGTGTTATTCAATTGTACTTTTAGAATAATAAAATCAAAATAACAACTTCAACAGATTTAACTTTAAGAATCACAATAAAATTAATCAATTGATTAACTTAACAACAAATCAAATCAAATCTTTTGTCTGCTGATTACTCGAAAAAACAAAAGACACTCAATCCTATCATGTCCAACTCATGTCAAATACATCCGTGAATCAAATTGAAATTTATAATTTACCAAAGAATCTCCGTTAATATTTATCAACAAAGCTTACAGAATATCTTGTCTTGTTTACAAACAGTAATGAGATTACGGTTGAAAATGAATGAATATTGACCCAAAGATGAAGCCATTAATATCAATCTTATTTATTTTTTTCTAAAACTGACTTTTATAATGATTATAAAAATCAAATCACATGACTAGGCGGAACATCAGGCGACAAAAATGTGACAATCACGTTTATAAAAAATCATTTTCTTAGTTATCAGAAATTCATAATGTTGACCCCATCGTGTGACCCTCCCGTTTTTATAAAATTTTTAAAAAATATCATCCTTTATCAATAAAACTATGGAAATTTGAAATATTTCGATCATTATTAATTTGACAATCCTCCATTACAGAGGTCTAACTGAATATAGTCTGCGAGATATTAAAGCAGTATTTATTACAAAGACTGATTGTTGACTGCCTTAATAGAGGAGCAGGAAGAGAAGCATTGGTGCTCGATTCACAGAGCAAACATTAGTACCTTAAATAAGAAGTTCAAAAATGGCGCTTGATTTCATAGCAGGATGCTTGGGTGGTAAGTCAAACAGAAATTACATTCATTTTGATTTATTCAGCAATAAAGCAACTACGCAGTGAGATTTAATTTTCACATTATAACACAGAATTATGACATCAACATTGTGATTTCTTCTCGGCTGTATGAATTCCTCGTTGATAAGGCGCGAATTAAAGTAATAAATTATTTGACTTCTCGAAAGCTCCTTGAAGCACAAGTTTTTTGAATCTCGATGACTGCTATTTTTGGAGGGAGGTTCAAGTTCATTAGTTTTTATTTCATTACGCAAGCTAGTCAAATCTTGAACTTGTTTTAGAGGAACTGCTGATAAAATTGCTAATTACTGAAGCTCTATGAAAATTGCCCAGTATTAAGTGTGCATTATTTATTTTAAAAATCAGCAGTTCTAGAGTTCACACAAAAATACCCAAACTCCTCCCTTTAAGCACAGCCAAATAAACAATCTAATAAAAATGATTTAATTACTGTTGTTATGACATTTCTTCATTGTACTAGCTTTATCACCTTATTATCAATATTTACTCATAATTATGCCTTTCTCACTCATAGGTTGCGCGGGTCTCCTTGTCGGACATCCATTTGACACAGTAAAAATTCACTTACAAACGCAAGACTATAAAAATCCACTTTATCGTGGCACGTACGATTGTCTGAAGAAAATTGTGCAAAAAGAATCACTCAGTGGTCTTTATCGCGGCCTTTCATCACCTTTAGCCTCAATTTCCGTACTTAATGCAATTGTATTTGGTGTTTATGGAAGCGTTCAAAGACAATCAAAAGATCCAGAATCATTAATTGCTCATTTTTGTGCTGGCTCAGCAGCTGGACTTAGTCAGACGTTAATTTGCAGTCCTATGGAACTTGTAAAGAGTAGGATGCAAATTCAAAATGACATTCCTAGTGCTGTAAAGCACAATAATCCATTTGCATGCCTCAAACACGTGTGGAAGCACGAAGGAAGAAGAGGAGTCTTTAAAGGACTTGGTATCACAGTTGCAAGAGATGTTCCAGGTAAATTACTTGCTTTATTTTTCAATTAATGACTTTAAACTCACAATAATCACTTTCTTATTCAGGATTCGCATCATACTTCGTCTCATTTGAAATGATGATGAGACAGACATCAAATCCAAGTGCATTCTACACACTTATGGCTGGTGGTCTAGCTGGAACATTCTCATGGGTCATATCATTTCCAGTTGATGTTGTAAAGTCACGTCTGCAAGTCGACGGCATGGATGGAAAGCCAAAATATAATGGAGCTATGGACTGTATTAGAAAAAGTTATGAAGCTGAAGGTGCTGCATTTTTAACTCGTGGACTAAACTCAACGTTACTCAGAGCATTTCCAATGAATGCTGTTTGTTTCCTGGTCGTAACATATGTCATGAAATTCTTCCAGAATCCACAGTCAATAGATGTCTCATTATCAAAAGCTGAGCCATTGCCAATCATTGACTATAATCAAGGATTTATCACACGAATATTCAATCGAATAGATTTTGATTCACAACATAAGCACAGAAAGTTCAGATACATGATATTTTTGGATGGATTCCATGAAGCAGCTTGTCACGCTGATATGGTTCATTTATCTGACACACTCAGGGAGCAGAGAAAGAGTTATGAATATTTTTACAGGATAAATGATGGAGTTTTAAATCAAAACTTAACTGAGGATGATATGAGAGTTCCTATAAAGTAGCATTTAAGGATATACATATATGTAAAAAAAATCAATAAGGCAGTTTTTCTTAATTAGTCATTAAGTGATAGGTTATAAGAAAAAAATATTCATGACAATAAATATGATATTGAAGTGCAATAGGAACAAAAGACACAAAGACAGACACACAAAATTTAGCATTTTAAAGTTTGTAGAATTTTTTCAATTTGGAACTTTTGTGCTGGAAAGTCCTTTTGTAAATTTTCCAAAATACTCGTGATATTTTCATGAATCTCTTCCAGCCTTTCCATTTCAACGTCGATGGCATTTTCACTCTTCATCTTTGGCAAATAAGTACAGCTAGTCAGTAACTTATATCGCTTAGCTCTCTTCTGCAGCAGAACAATCGTTTCCAAATTCCTTTGCTTCATCAACAAACTCTGTTCAATTTCCGTTTGTAGCAAGCAATCCTGCATCTTCTCAGTCTGAATGTCTTGTTCCTTATTCACAATTTCAGCTCTTAAAATCTCTTCACGCTTCTGTATTTCACTGACTTGATGCTGTGTCGCAATTAACTCCGTATTGATAATTTTTAATTTATTTTTCATTTCACTCAGCTTATGCTTAATATTCGACTGCGTCTTAATCTTTGTTCCTGTTTTCTTTTCGCGCGTGTTTGCCGCATCATAAATATGATCGCGATGATAGACACTATTTTCGAGTGCCTGAACCATTCGTTCTTGCAATTTCTTGAGATTTGAATATTTTAGTTCCATACGATGAATTTCGGACTTCATGATGCTGATTTCACTGCTATCTGCTAATTCATCGTCACGCATCTTTTTAGCTTCATTTGCCATTTTAAATTTTGTTTCCCATGACAATGCTTCGTAGTGCTTCTCCTTAACTTCATTCTTTAATTCCTCAATTTCTTGACCCAAGTTAATCATGTCTTGTTCCAAATCCATGACATTCATTTCAGCATCTTTCAATTTATCAACTGTGTCTTGATGCGCCATTAAGCATTCCATTTCCTCCTTTTCATGAATCTTTCTCTTTTCATAAAGTTTCGAACTTGACTGATCAATCTTGACATTTAGATTGCTCAAATTCCTCAAAATTTCACGATTCTCATTCGCACTGTGTTCCAACTCTGTCTCTACTTTGAGTGCCTTTTGCTCGATGACCATCAGTTCTGTAAGGATGAAATTTAATCAGTCAAACAGGTTCAAATGCTTCAAAAGCTTTAAAAACTTACGCTTCCTGCCAACAAAGATTTCATCCATTTGAGAAGCACGCTTCTCAGACATAGCAACAACCTGTGATTGAAGCTTAAGCCAAAATTGCTGTAACTCTTTTATTTTCGTATCAATTTCCGAGATCTTCTTTTCCAACTCCATGACTTGTATTTCCTTCAGATTCATTTCCTTTCCGCCCAATTTCTCAATCATATGCTCAAGCTGTTTATGGATGCTGTCCAAAACTATCATCTTATTCTTAGTTGTTGCTTTAATCCTTTCAATCTCTTCGTTAATTGTATTTGCTTCAAAGTCAACCTCATTGTGCTGTTTCTGAAGTTTGCCAACATTATGTTTTGATTTTTGGACAAGTCCACGCCACTTTTCAAGATCTAAAATTGCTTCCGATAACTTATTTTCTGTTTCCGACAGCTGGATTTCCAAATGTCTTCGCTTTTCTTGTGCTTCTCTCAAAAGTCTACTGCGATGCTGACCAGCTTTATCTGTTGTGATTTGGTCTTGCAACAAGTCAAGAATTTTCTCTTCAGTCTCGAGTTTCTGACGTGACAACTTCTCCAACTTATTGATCAATTTAGTCAAGTGATTTTTCGTCAATAATCCTTCGGAACGTGCTTGTTCAATATCCGCCTCAGTCTTTTCCAAAATCGATTGAAAATGTGCAATTTTAAAATCCAATTTCGAGTTTTCACCATCTGCCATTTGAACTGTAAAGAACGAAGAAGAAAGTCATTTCATGCATGACTGAACCTACATTAAATTATCATTGTTAAGCAACTTACGTTGTTTTTCAATGTTAGTGACATCTCTTAGCAACCGGTCTTTGAACTCATTCAGTTTTTCGCTTGTCTCGAGTTCTTTTTGGACAAATTTCTTTGTGCTTTCGATTCCAGCTTGAAGCGTCTTGTGCTGCTCATGTTCGTTGCTGTAGGGATAAAATTTGGTAAAATCAATGTGTGAGGTTTATCACAAATGAAATCAATCGAGAAATTAACACTCACTAATCATACAGCTGTTAGGTTCTTATGCTTATGGTCAGATAATCCCTAGACACTTGCCCAATCCCCACAAAAATTCCAAAATCACCTATTAGGGTCGTTCACTTATTACGTTACGCATAAAAACGACTTTTTTCACCCCCCCCCCCCCCTTGTTACAATATTTTACAACTCACAACCCCCCCCCCCCCCCTGAACGTTCATAATTTATTTTATTTTGGTGTGAATTTTTTTCGTGAACTTTTTTTTAAAAACAGACGTCAGTTAGAACGTTACATACTTCTTGACCCCCCCCCCCCTTATGTTACATTTTGTTACAATTTTAACCCCCCCCTAAAATGCGAACGTAATAAATGAACGGCCCCTAATGTCAATCAAACTTACTGTAAATCCATGCGAGCTTTTGACAAAATTTTGTCACGATGCTGAACAGACACAATGACTTCTCCCCATGCTTGCATCAACTTCTTATGTTCTTGCTGTAATCCTTCTAAATCGACATTAGAGTCAGCAAGATTTTGGTTCAAAGCAGCAACAGCTTCACTATGATCCCTTATTTGTTCCTCAATGTTACTCAATTCAATCTCCTTTTTGCGGACCTCAGAATCGAGATTGAATAACAGCATGTCAACCTTCTTCTTCTCTTCAGAAACCAATCGTTGGTCCTTTGAATCTTTTGTTGCTACACGCTTAGCAAGTGCTATTTCATTTTGAATTTCATTGTTCCATTTGGTGATTTCACTCTCCAACGACCGCATGCTTTCAATCTCTTGTGACACCAAATTATTTCTTCGTTTTGCCTCCTTACATGCTGATTCTTTCTTGTAGTATTCTGCCTTCAGTTTTATAACACTTTCTTCATGCGCACGTCGACTCTCTGAGATATCTAATATCTGTCCATTATATTTATCCAATTGTTCACGCTGCTTCTCGATCTCATTTTGAAGGTCAAAAAGTTTTGCCCCAACTTCCCCTACTTCTTCATTCTTCTCTTTAATAGCATGATTTATGTCTGATATCTCGCTTTCCAATTGATTTTTAACCTTGAGCAAATGTTCTTTTAACGCCTTTTGGAAGCGTTCCATTAATGGATGATCAGCAGATAGTAACCCAGTCTCTTCTGACTCTGACTCGTTTGGATCTTCATCATCAGCTGGAACTTTTGGAATTAGAAATAAATCCATCTTACTTAAGTGAAGGTTTTTGAGTAAATGAATGGTTTGTATTGTTAAATTAGAAGTTTTGTGAAAGGAATCGGAAGTTTGATCGATAAAATGCAGTTTGAAGGGAACTTTTCGACAAAAGTAAATTAATTGAGTTCCAATAGATTGCTATGGTTTTTATGGGTTCTTATAAGTTTCTAAAACTCAACAGAACTGAAACAAGATTAATCTAGTTGATTTTGGACATAAACAGAATCTATTCATATTCAAAACGAAGTAAAAACTTCATATCAAATTCTCAGTACTGAGTCAAAAACGTCAAACATCAATTTTGAATGACGTTTTGATTTTAATCTTTTGGGGATTTGAAATTTCTAATGACGTAATTAAAGACCAAAATCTATTCCTGATTCATAATATTTCTTTATTTTGCTAATCAAAGCATCTAATTCCTAGCAAACAATCTAATCTAATTAAATTAAAATAATTCATAAAGTTTTTGTCTAAGCAGGAAAAGCAGATGGAGTTGTTTGAATGTTTGGATGAGTTGATGTTGTTGTAGATCTGCTAAGTAAAGTTCCTTGGGCCAATTCACCACTTTTCCATTGCTTGAACTTCAAAAATCCAGAAAAGAAGTAAACACCAGTTGTGATGAGTCCAAATAATCCAGCAAAAGTTGCAAGAACATTCGGTTTAAGGACTGAAATAAGTGAAGCAATAAAGTAGAGTAAAGTCATCAGACAAATTCCTCCGAGCTCAGCAGGAAGCCATGGCAGTGTATAAAATTTCTCAGGTATGTGGAACAAATATAAAAGTAGCATTCCAATTGTAAAGAACCAAGCAAATCCGATGACAAAATTGTAGTATCCGAAAGTGAGGGATGATGCATTGATTAGAATAATATTGATGAGTCCAAGCAGCTAGATTTAGGAAGATTGAAAAATTAGAGTCTAGGTATAGTTCATTGATAATCTTCAAAACATACCACAAGTACAACTTTCAAATATCCATTCATTGTCCTGAGATATTCAGTATCAAAACGTATTTCGGGTCTAATAGAGGCATGAGTTTCTGTTCTCGTAACTGTAGACATTTTGAAAGATTCGTCTGACAAATGAAATAGACATTAATCGACTGACTACTTTTAAGATCTTAAATTATCACCTTAACCTCAAGACATGACTAAAGCATACTAAATGACGATCATCTGAAACATCTTGCATGAAATTGAGACATCACAAAAAGCAAAAAGAAATTAACATCAAAGTGATGAATAACATCATAAGTTCTTTTATTTGAAAAACAAAATACATCAATAGCAAATATATGTTTGTATATGAATAAGTATTTGTAAATATCTCTTTTAAGATCTTTTCGTTTCTCTTTAAATTTTACTTAATTACTCTAAATTTCATTGTTTTCGTTTTGGACGAAAAGTATTTTGATATTTTTTAATTGTTATGGTTTTCAGGAATCGAAGTTGTGTTGCTTCAAAATGAATTCACATTTTTGCAACCATTTCGAGTTCCTGACGGCAAGCATTAGAAAAATCTCTTAATTTCAAAAACCCAAAAACAATTCATTTTGATAATCCTGAGTCTTCAAACTTAATTGTCATATAGGAAATTTGAACTTTTTAAATGAACATGGTTCATGCTATTGAGATCAGTGTTGCATTCTGGCTATTTGTCTGGATCAGATAAATTCTGAGACAGAAATTTCTTCATAAAGATCGATTCTATATGAAGATAGAAAATCTAATCTACACAAAGATTATTTCTACATAAAGAATGTGTCTACATAAAGATTCGATGTAGATGTCTACAATTTTACATCTTCTCTGATGTAGACCTGGAAAAAATGTCTCTGATGTAGACCTGGAAAAAATGTAGAATTGTAGACATCTACATCGAATCTTTATGTAGACAGATTCTTTATGTAGAAATAATCTTTGTGTAGATTAGATTTTCTATCTTCATATAGAATCGATCTTTATGAAGAAAGTTTCTTAGCTAGACAAAAACTATTGAAGAAGCTACATTCTTCATCTAGTGTAGACATCTACATTTGCAACACTGATTGAGATACATGAACTTTAAACTAAATAATTAATTGCAATACGTGCATTTTAGTAACGAAAGAATGAATAAAGTGGCAAGATTTGATTCTTTTTGTTTGTTTGTGGATTTCTTAATAATTAGTAAAGATCAGTGGCAGGGATCCAAAGAAGATACCCGATCAGTGGTAAACATTGAAATTCAACAAATACTTTAAAGACACAAAAAGTACTTAAGTGTTATGAAAACGTAAACATAACAAAGTTATCTAAGGATGAATGTGTGTTTTTCTTATGCTGGAAAAGCCGATGGAGTTTGTTGAGTGATGACTGTCTGCTGTTGAGTCACAACCTTTCGTGTTCCTTGTGCAATTTCACCGTTCTTGCAAGCATTAAATTTAAGCCAGGAATCATAACCGTACGCAACCATTGCACAAAATCCAAAGAATGCCGCTCCTGTATAAGCACCAGAGTATGTTACAGTGGAGACAGTAACTGATGCAATTAGATAAAGAGCTGTCCAAGCTATACAAAAATACATTTCAATCTGTATCCATGGAATACGGAAGAACTTCTCCACAACATGAAAGACATAGAACACCAATAAAATGCCGGTGAACCAAAATCCAATCATTGCGACTGTATTGAAGAATGTTCCGCTTTTAAGACTTGTATACACTGAACTCTCAACACACAAAAAGCCGAGTAAGTTGAGCACCTAATACCATATATTATTGTTGTTGTTGTGCGATTGTTTTGTGATAACAAAGAAAATAAGAGAAAAAAAATTGGATATACGAATGAATGAATGAATTGATGAATGGAACATATTCAATTACTTACAACACAAGTGCATTTTATAATACCCGGAATCGTACGAAAGACGGTCGGGTCATACCTAATTGATGGATTTACGTTCGTCTCCATTTGTGTAACAGTACGAGTTGCTGTTGCTGATTGCATGGCTTAAGAAATATAAATTGTTTAAGTATGAGAAGAAGTTTGAAGGCAACAAATACTAATTTTTGTTAGTATACGCAATGACTAATGCATGCAATGGGAATCAACAGTTGTTTGTAGCATTTATGAACAAAAGTTAAAAAAATCGATAAGGTTTTGTCTGCGAAATAATTTACGACTCAAAGTGTTTCGTCGTGAGAAAATGAGTAGCATGCCAATAAACTCATTTAAAGTGTCGCTACATAGTTCACACAAAGAGTTGATAATCAATATTTCCCAATTATTTTTTATCAACTGATAAGATATCTAAACTATGTAAACGGAGGCTTGATTTGCTTTTTGTCAATTTGATAAGAATGAAGCGCACATTTTTGGGATATGACTTGGATGTTCAGTTAGTAGAAATGTAATACAATTTGGAATGGCTGATTTCGCAATTTTAGAAATGAAATATTTTACTCAAATCGAGTTGGGGGGGGGGGGGGGGGGGGGTACAAAAAAAATGACCCCCCCCCCCTCTTTAAATTTCTGACTACGCCCTTGAGTTTTATATTTCTGGAATTGATTCTTTATCTTTTGTTTAAGCAGTGATCTTCATTCCTCGCTTCAGTAGTTTTTATTCAACCGCAACTCTCAAAGAGCGTCCCAAAACCATCCAACAAACCCAAATCTTTCTCGATACTACTTTAATATGATTCCCGCTCAAAATTGTATCTCATTTTCTTTCGTTCATATCACTTCATTCAAGATTTATAGACACTCAACCTCAAACTTACTGTACGATCTAGAAATCTTCTAAAAATAAACTTAAATTGCAAAACTAGAGACACAATGACTCGAAGTATATAAAGTTTACTATATTTACACCCCATTTAAACACATTCAGCAGTGATTTACATTTTTATGTGTCAATTTAGTCATAATAATTTTTAGATAACAGGCATGCAAAATAAGAAGTTGGTGTAAATGCACAAAACATATTGCTTGGGATGCCGCAAACCATTTAATTTGAAGACCGATAAGAAATTGACAATCTGTTGATTCGGAAAGCACTCAGTCAATATGTGTAATGTATTTTGTTGGCTGTTATCTTTACTTCTTTTTTTTCGATAACTAGGAACAATGGAAGCACATAATAAAAATTTTTGGAGACTAATTGTAGGAATGAATCATTCATAAGACTACACTTGGGAGTTTATGAATTATTAATTTAATATATAGCTGCGGTGTCGAATCACTTGCACTAGCTATAAAGTACTCAATATTTTACACAAAAAAGTTACAAAGTACATACAATAAAGTAAATATGAAGATGATGAGCTTATGGAATGGAATGTTTAGATGCTAAATATTACATAGTGCGACTATAATTAACTTCACAAACATCGATGGATAAAAAATTACTTTAGACGCAATCTGCCTTAATATTATTTTAATCTACCTGATAGACTAGATGATTTTTGATCAAATTATTTAATAAATATGATTGTTCCTTCACTGGATATAAATTATTAATTGAGTTAACTTAATTGACTTTTTAACCACACAGCAGATCAAAACCTAATAAGTTGTATGAATGTGTGTGAGGGAAAGAACTGACTGGAAATGCGATTGGAATGGATTGCTACTTCATTCCTTTAGTAAGCGCTTCGGATATGCCTGGTTGATTTTTTTTTTTTGTGATTCGGGAATTAACTTAATCATTAGTTAAGAAGATGTTGGAAGTGTTACAAAATTGTGGAATTCTTATAAGAAAACTCGTTTAAAATTGGCATTTAAGGCACAACATTTGCTTCTCCATCATTGAATGTTGCTCATTTTAAGATAAATATTGAGTTCCTTTAAGCACATTTCTAAACTCATTTAAGCATTAAGTGTCAACTTTGTAACGAAAGTATCAATTATAAATCTACAACGGTCTTTTAATTTTCGAATTTTTGAACTCGATAAAATAACAACTTTCTATAATTCAAATCTCCGAGTGCACTCAGCTCCAAAAGCGCTTAATAAGAACAACAATTGCAATTCTTTGTGAGCTTGAAATTTTCAAAATTATTTTTTTGTGAATTTAATTTAAATTAATTAACAATGGGAGTTTATAAAATAGTTTTAACACTTGGATTAATTTCATTGCTGCATTCTGGATATTCAGCTGCTCAATGTGAGTCTAATAATGACATGAATCAAGAGTTCTTTTAATTAATTTACATAAATTTGCAGACCGAACATTTTTGAGGATTTCTGAGCAGGAGTTCGAGTCATTGCCTTTAGATGTAAGATGCCTTAAAGCTTAATTATTCCCTCAAATTACATTAAATGTGTATTTCAGATAAGCATTCAAGCGATTGTCAGCTTTGCAGTAGTTGTTTATTCTATACTTAGCATCAAGTCTGACTGGAAGTTAATTCATGCTACAGAAATAGGCAAATCTAGCTGGGATACATTCGCTAATATCCAATCATTTTATTCATTTAATCATCGTGGCAAGGCTTTATTTAATCCAGATTATACGCAACCAAATTTACCAAATATGGATTTATTAAATTAATAATGTCTGATCTCATTTCATTTGTAAAGGAAACAGCTTTTATTTAATTAAATAACATATATATTGAAAAAATATTAATTAGTTTAAATGAGTTCCAACATAACGTGACTAGATTCTTCCATTGTTTACAGCGCCTATTATTCACGAGGAATTCTGGATGCAAAGAATTTAAGTTTTTGATTACTTCCGTTCTTCACCATCATCTTGTTTCCAGCATTCAATTGCAATCGAATATGATTAGCTGATATATTAATTCCTGAATTTGCAGCATTCTTGTTCTCCTTCAATCGCTTAATTTTCTTCGGGATCAATGAAAACTTCCGGACATCTCTTTTTGTTATCATTTTCTCGTATTTTGACTTTTCTGGTGATTCTACAATGTCTTCTTCAACGTTATTGTTTTCTTTAATGATTTCTTTATCGTTTTCCATTTTAAATTGTGGTTTAATTAACTTTTTATTGCTTTACAAAATCTCGTGACTGTCTTAAAAGTTTGGCGCACTTTTGAATTATGTTTTTCAAATGTTTTTTAACCGTTAATTTTTCAAATTTTGTTTCACAGTTAAATTTTAAGTTCATTTTTGCGGTTGGTAACTTTACAAGTATATATTTTGACTAAGTCAAACAATGTATAGGACAAATTGCATTATTAGTCACGAGACCACATATTTTGTTGCTTAATTGTGGATTTCTTTCCGAATATTAAGGGATCTGTCAATGAGAACCGAAAGAAGCAGCTTGAAGAGAAAGCAAAACATGATCGTAAAAAAGAAAAAGTCCCTCTTAAGGTTGCATTGCAAGATACTGATACAAAAAACTTGCTCGATGCCTTCGCCAAATATGTTTCAATAGAAAATTTGCCAAGAAAAAAGAATGACAAAACAAATCTCACCTGAATGAGCCTTAATAAACCGAACAGATTTGTCCAGTTAAAAAGTATGTCAATTCATGTACCTATTTTATTATTAATTACATTTTTTTCTAGTCGGCTCAACCGTATTTTATCTTGTGTATGACACGGTTACGTGTGGGTTCAACCTTTATGTAAGAAATCCTTCTTATAGCGACTTGACTTTGTTGAACGTGATGGGCTTCTATTGTGCTAATGGCGAAAAGTTCATTAAACGTAGACGTTGGGTTGCGTATAGTTTCCACGCAAACACCAGTTCTCAATCCGTACCCATCACAACCGCCTTACTCAGAGCTCGTCATTAATTCTTACACAGTAAATAATGCAGAATTGATTACAGTACCGTTCAAAACTGTTTCCATGTTTCATGAAAATTTTTCTTTCCAACATATTTCTTATAAAACGTAATATTTTCCCAATATGTTATATATCGTTTTTAAGCTTGTTTAATAAGCATAAAGATAAGCAATGTTGGAAAATATTTAATTAAAGTAGATTTTTTGCTTAAAATATACACTGTCACATGGAAACACTTTTGAGCTAATAATTGTTTTTCCAAATTTTGATGCATAGCAGAACTAATTGATTAAAGTTTGTATATTATAGTAAAAAGCAAGTAAAATATTAGATAAAAGCACATAAATAAAGTTGCTAGACATAGTTAAAATTTTTACACAAGAATGTTAAATCACATGATATTGTGAGAGTCAAATATGATAATTTATTATTATGAATTGGATATTTTAATTATTTTAATCATTTTGCATTGTCTTAAGTCGATATTTACGTAAAAAAATTGAATTTTTGTAAATGCTTATAAAAAATTTTGAATATGGCTGTCGTTGACCAACAAAATTGTAAAAAACATCCTTTTACTCTCACAATGACTACACAAATCATATATGGTTATCTTTGTTAACATAAAATCTATCAGAAAAAGCGATTAAAGTTCTTTGAAGTGGAGGAAGTAATAAAAATTTTTGAATGTTTGTGTTTGCAAGTAAGAAAATTTAAGTGTTTCCATGAAATCTTAGGGGCTGTTCACTTATTACGTAACGCGAAAAAATTACTTTTTAGACCCCCCCCCCTCGTAACAAAATTTGTATGAAAAAAAAATTTCCTTGTTTGAACCGTAACAAAATCTTAGACCCCCCTCCCCCCTAAAAGCGTTACGTAATAAGTGAATGGCCCCTTATCAATTTTTTTGCTTTCAAATGCTTCAATTTACAATTAAAAACTGTTTTTCAGATTTAATAAGCTAAAATACATTTGTATGGATGCAAACGTCACAACATTTGGCTTTAATTCAGGAATTTTTTTGCAAAATTATGTGAAAATTTATCATGTGATTTAACATTCTTATGTAAATATTTTAACTATGTCTAGCAACTTAATTTATGTGCTTTTATCTAATATTTTACTTGCTTTTTACTATAATATACAAACTTTAATAAATTAGTTCTGCTATGCATCAAAATTTGGAAAAACAATTATTAGCTCAAAAGTGTTTCCATGTGACAGTGTATATTTTAAGCAAAAAATCTACTTTAATTAAATATTTTCCAACATTGCTTATCTTTATGCTTATTAAACAAGCTTAAAAACGATTTATAACATGTTGGGAAAATATTATGTTTTATAAGAAATATGTTGGAAAGAAAAATTTTCATGAAACATGGAAACAGTTTTGAACGGTACTGTATTTTGTCACTTTTTACTGGAAACTGCTAATATTCCATCCTATATTTGCTCGAGATATTTTGTATAGAAAGTCATCGCGATGTGAAAAAGCTAAGAATCTGTGAGATAAACAAATGGGACAGTGAATATAGAAACCCAGCGATGAAGACATTTGGATTATTATAAGGCAACAAGAGTATCAATGCACTCCTCAATAAAATAAAGCCAGTTGTGGACCGACTAACATTGAAATACAAAAAAATGTTTATGCCTCCCACAAATGTGCTGCAACTAGTTTTCCCAGAGTCTTGTTTTCTGGCACCATCAGAATCGTGGTACCGTGACATCACCTCAGCAAGACCACTAAAATTGTCCTCGCGATATAAGATCGAACACAAAAGTGTGATTAGAAAAAATTCTAGCACATGCTACCAAAATCAGTAAACATAATTCTAGAACTTAAAGTAAAGATTTTTGAATTAGGATGAAAATCTAAAATCTTGTACTTCAGATATCTACAAAAAGTAATGAATATTTTGAATTAGAAATTTGAGACATAAAGTGAACGTATATTTTGAATTTCAAAAACTTTAGTACATAACATTTGGGCAGTTAAAATAGCGGGGCATGTAAATTGATTGTGGGGAAATTGTACGACCTGCATTGAATCCGAGAAGCAAATTTAATTTTAATTAATTTTGCCAAGGATTTACTGTGAATTTATCAACTTTAATTAACAATAACAATAGTGTGGATATAAATAAATCATAAGCAGTGAAAATATCAGCAATTCAAGATGGTTAAGCGATTTAAAAAGGTAAAATTCAATTCTCACGTTTTTCAATAACAAAAACATGCTCGAATTTATCAAAAATTATTTGATTAATTTCTTTAATTCTTATTATTCTAGTATGAAGCCGGTGAAGGCGTTCAGTTTATGTCGAGATTAGCAGCACTTCATAAATTACAGCTGTCCTTGAACGACTTCCGTAGATTATGCATTTTAAAAGGAATTTATCCAAGAGAACCAAAAAATCGACGTAAGGCTCAAAAAGGTCAAACACAGATCAAGATTTTATATCACAAAAAGGATATAAATTTCTTGTTACACGACAAATTGATATGGACACTTCGTGACATAAAGATTATGAATCGTAGAATTAAGAAGGCTGATTCCGTTGGCGATATGCGATTAAAGAGGATGAGAATTAACAAATATCCACAATTACGTTTAGATCATGTTGTAAAGGAACGATATCCAACATTTATTGATGCCATTAAGGATCTTGATGATTGCCTTACGCTGTTATTCTTGTTCAGCACTTTCCCAGCTATTAAATGCGTCACACGATCACAAACAACTTTATGTCGTCGTTTATCAGTTGAATTCATGCATTATGTCATTGCTTCTCAAGGACTGCGTAAAGTTTTTGTATCAATTAAAGGATATTACTTCCAAGCTGAAGTTAAAGGCCAGCTTGTTACTTGGATTGTGCCTCATTATTATCCATACCAACCACAGGCAAAGAGTGAAGTTGATTTTAGAATTATGGCAAATTTCGTTGAATTTTACACAACTATGTGTGGATTTGTTAATTTCCGTCTATATCACTCGTTAAATATAGCATATCCACCACAATTTAATGTCTCTATAGATTCGGAAGAATCACAAACCGATGAAACTACATTTGTATCTGAAAGAATTGCTGCACTTAACTGTGAAATTAAGAAAACAAACGATGAGCAGTTTGAGGAACCAGAAGAAATGGATTTGCAATTAATATCAAATGAAGGCGATTCCGAAAAGGTCAAAAAAATGCATGAACGTGAAAAGGCATTAAAGAGAAAGAAGAATTTATTCAAAGGACTTAAATTCTTCATTAATCGTGAAGTTCCTCGCGAACCTCTCGTTTTTGTCATTAGATGCTTTGGTGGAAAAGTATCATGGGATAAAAGCTGCTTTGTCGGTTCTACTTTCGATGAAGATGATGAAACAATCACACATCAAATTGTTGATAGACCATCAATAAGTAAACAATACATCAGCCGTGATTATATTCAGCCACAATGGGTTTTTGACTCTATTAATCAAGGAGTCTTGTTGCCAACAAATAAATATTTCTTAGGAGTTACTTTACCTCCACATTTATCACCATTCTCAAATGCACATAGAGAAATCACTGAATATGTTCCGCCAGAAGAAAAAGCACTTCGTGATCCAAATTTAGTTGTCCAACATGAAATTTCCGATGTTGAAAACGAGGATGATGAAGATGGATCAAAACAGACAGAAGGTGAACTTAATTTAGCCTTAGTAAATGCATTTAGAGAAGAAAATAAGCAAATACGTGCTGAAAATCAAGTAGAAGAAAAGGGAGGTAAGAAGATTATCGAACCAGAGAGTGAAAGTGACGAGGAAATTGATGTTACTGACATGCTTGAATATTCTGATGATGAGAATGCTGAAGTAGAAGAAAAGGAACTGACAAAAGAGCAAAAACGTGAATTAGCTAAAGAAAAAATGGCAGTTAAATCAGGAAATGTCTTTAAAGTTGACACTAAGAAGGAAAAGAAGCTCACCGAGCAGGAACTCAAGTTGCGAGCTAAAATGGTCAAGTCACGACATAAGAAACTTTATCATACGCTCCTTGAAAAGCGCGCAAAGGCAACGAAAGAGACAAAATTGCTCGAAAATAAGCGTCGACAAATTGATGAGACAAGGAAAAAAGTTCGTGCAAAGAAAAACAACGCATAAAGCAGAACTTAAAGTAATTTCTGTTACTCTTTTATTGCAACCATATTAATTCATGAATTCAACTTTTTCTTTATAATTATTAATGTTAATTATCTTTCTTATCAATTCTTATTTTTATGCAAACTTGGATTCTACAGCAAATATCGTATAAAACACCTGAAATGTTTGTTTTTTCATTTTTATTTTATTATATTCTTTTAATACAATAAAAAAGATTGTAAGAACACATGTTTGCGTCGTGTATCAATATTTTTAATGGGTTTTCTCTTTACTTCTTTTGTTTACCGAATGTGTGAATGGAAATTCATCAACCATTTCCTTTACAGCACAGTTTCTACTTGTTTTTGTTATTTTTTCGATTAATTGTAAAAAGATCATAAGAGTTGTGGATGATTGATCAACAGAATATGTAAAGTTAATTGTATGGGATTTTTGGAGTTACTCGAAATGTTTCAAATATCTTAGTAAAATTTTGAAAAATCTAGTACAAAAAATTGTCCTGAAATGTTTTGTTCATCTAGTAAATCTTTTACTAGAGTATTACCCAAACAGCTCGAAAAAATATTTTTGAATTCTAGTCCATAAAATCGTACTAGATCTAGATTCTTAGTTTTTAAGACGATAAAAAGTACCAGATTTTATTCGATCTAGTACTGAATTATATAATGATTTTATTCTAGACTGTTAAGTAGTAGATTGCAATTAATCTAGTACCTCGCATGATGGACATCTTTTTAAACTGAAAGAATCTTTACTTGAACTCATACAACCTCCTCAAAATTGTACTAGATTATTTGAAATTGTATAAATCTGTTCAAAACATAAACTCAAAGCTTAATTTGAACAAAAAATCACATCGATCCATATACTGACCAAAAATCAAAATAATATTTACAAAATAACAAAATAAAATAAATCGGATTTCGAAGAAAAAAGTTCAATTTGGTTAATTTAATAAATTTTAGAGTGGAAGGAAACTTTTCTTTTTGTGTAGGTAGGAAAGTGATAAAAGTTTTTTGATTAATTTTTCGGAAGATTAAAGGTCTATTAATCAGAGTCATCAGCGTCAGAGTCTTCTTCGAGTTCTGGCATTGGGAAGCGTAGAATGGCAGCAACGCCTGTCAGTTGTGCTAATTCTAAATATTTTTACAAAGATGAAAAGAAGATTTTAATTTATTGAAATGCAGAAATGTTTATGCTCACTTGCGAAGTGATATTTTGTATTTATAACTTACGTTCACCCGACACGTGCATGCTCGAGAAAACTTTCACATCACCGCCTGCCTCAAGAACATCGTCGTGCATCTTAACATATTCTTTACGCTGAATTGGATCCTGATTTCTGTATTAAAAATAATAAAGAGGAAATGAGTTAAAAGTGATGTTAAGCTTAATTTCATACATCATGTAAATTATGTGAAATCTTTTTGCACAATGCGGTCATGTTTTAAATAATTAAAACCGACAATTTGGCAATTAAGCATAAATCTCATGAATGAAGTAAATTTAAAATAATGAACAAGCAGTCGCAATTATCAAATGAAAGTGAAATTTACGTGATGAAAGATCGAGATGCTCATGCAGAGCAATTTTTAAGGCGCCTATAAAATTTGTTTTACAAATGCGAAATTAATTTTGAAGCTGTTGAGGTTTACCAAATTTTAAACAATGTTTAAGAGCTGAAAAAGTTTGGGGTGTCAAAAATGGGATTTTCAATTTTTTTTTTACCAAACCTCTAAATGATTTTCAGACTTTTTAACATCCTTAAATCAGGAACTAGGTAATTTTTTGATGTAATCGATCCCTTGTAAACTTACACTAGCCTCATTTTAGTCACAGTTCTGTCCATAATCCAAGAAGATCATGGCCAAACCCAAAGATTTTATTTTGCATTCTTATTTCTTCTTTTTTCAAACGCATTCCTTATAAATCTTGAAAAAGCAGCTCAATGAAGGAAACTTTGAAGTTTTCTGTTATGTTTACTTTGTAAACGAGCTCAGCAAAAAGGTAATAAGAATCCTTAATTGAGTGATGTGTGTGTAAGCCAAAGAAAATATTAATTAAGCTACAATTTCGTTCATTTGTCTGGCTTGACATTTCATTCCAAATTAATCTCTGGATTAGGACTAAAGATTGAATATTTCTGGATTAAGATTTAAATCTTTTAAAGTTAAATAACTCAGGATTAAAAGTCAATCTAACATGACGTGCAGGTGCTCTGGTTTTTATATAAATAATGAAAGAGTCAAAATCCTCTCAAACAGAGTATTTTTTGACAGCTTCTAATAAATCTGAATATGACTTAGGAGTCGTTCATATCTGATGTCTAACTTTAAGGTTAAAAACTATGGTTTTAGTGCCATGATACACTTTGCTTACATCTGATCATTTTGTGACTCACGGAGGAAGAGATTAGGATGAGGAACCTAAAAGACATCATTTATCAACGCCTCCCAAAAGAATAAAAATAAAATCAAAGCCATTCAAACTTTGTCTAAGTACTTGCAATAAATTCATTTTGACAGACATTTTCTGTGGCGATCGAGTCGGTAAAGCGAGCATAACCAGATGTACAATGATTCATAATACAAATAAAATTGGCATTTCCCAGTCTACAAAATCTGTTTATGTATTAATTAATTCTCATTTTTATAAAATTTTAATTTAAAAATCATATTGAACATGAACACTAAATGGAATGAGCAGCAACAGAAGAATAAATGAGTGTTAAATTGTGAACAAATTTTTTAATATGTTAAATTTATTTTTTCATGTCCACCTACTCATGTGATCCACATGTTAATACCTAAACTGAAGCTGATTAGATGCAACAAAATAATTAGCTTACATGCCATAGTTTTTATTCCACGTAGGCACATCCAGAATCGAAGTATTCTATTCTATCCCGTTCTATCAACAACGCAGTAAGCAACAAACAAGTCAACGACGGTGATGAGGAATTTTTAATCAGCATAGAAATGCAGAGCAAACATTGAGGCAGAACCAGGCATATTACATACTATAAAAGTACACATTTTAAGCGATGTAAATCATCTGGCATGATCAAGGCACAAGAAAAATAAATAAGAAGGCAGAGCAGAGAGGAAGAAGAAAGATTTTAAAGAGCAAAAGTTCACAGAAATCACAGAATGAAATCCAAAAATAAAACATAAGAAATGAAAAAATCAACATCTACAGCATAAAATAAATTAGCTATAATTTCTGTGCTGCACATGTTGTGTAATCGTATTTTGTCTTGACTAGCTGCTTAAAGTTTATGATTTATTTTTAATCCGATGATTAATCTTAATATTTTCTTAAATCGTGGGATTACATTTAATCCAACATTTAATCGTTGGATTAATCCTTAACAATCAACAGACATTCCTCAAAATATATCAGCAAAAAGTTTGCCAGCATGCAAGCATACAGCTGACAGTAATTATCCCATTATGATTCACTAGCTGTTGACAATAACATACACTTCTTGACAGTGTGGATGACTAGGTTCTGTTTTGACGACATGTCCTGATAATATCTCATTAATTTTTCCATAGAAAAAAAAACTGCAAGCTATGACTGGTTGTGACTTGAAGTTAAGTTCGATATTAAATTACGTAACGATAAAAAATTACTCATCGAGATTAAAGACATAAAAATTAATTTTAAAATATTACGAAATTCAGTTTAATGACTTAACATCTAAAGTCATAGTCGTGAATCTAATTTTAATGGGAATCTTGGTGATCAGTTCATCATGCCAGTCAGGAAGCTAAATTTGTATTCTTGATTTATTATTAAAAGCTAAAATCTTAGGTACAGAGTAAAGCTCTTTTGCTAGGCATTTATGGATGTAAGTAGGACCTTAACTAATGACTTTTACCATTATAATCATGGAAAATCTTAAAGATTTCCTCAGCTCAATTCAGTGAGTTAAGCTCAATTCAGCAAGTTCACTTCAATTCAGCAAACTCAGCTTAATTCAGCAAGCTCAGTTCTATTCAGCAAGTTAAACTCAATTCAGCAAGTTAAGCTCAATTCAGCAAGTTAAGCTTAATTCAGCAACTTCAGCGAATTCATATCCAAATAGACTTACTGCAACATGGAAGCCTTCAAACAAGCATCAATAGCTTCAAATTGCATTTTAAGTCATCAAATTTAATCAGTTATTCAGCCTCAATTCACTTCAATCACCCTTGAAATTCCAAACATTTAAAAACTATCTCAAAATGCGTTTTAAAGCTCCTCACAAAAATTCCAACTCATTTTCTCATCAACAAAAAAAAAAGTCGAAAGAATTTCACGAAAGAAAAACATTCTCACGGGTAAGGCATGCAAGATCTCAAAATATTTCTCATAGCAATGCTCACGAGTAAGTTGCGAGAGAGAAGGAACGATCGAGAGAATTTTTTGTACACACAGGCATTCAGTTGCTCTTTAGACTACATTCAAGTAGGTTCGCGTCAGAAGCCATTAACATTGTGATCATATTTTGTAGCTGTGGCTCAATAAAAAATAAATAAAATAGCTTTCTTTGACTTGAAAAGATACGGGAAGGAATTCAGGCATCTTAATGCGCATTTTTTCCAACAAAAACAAGATATAAAGGCAGTCTATAGTTGTGATAATTAAAACTACGCTAATTTATTGTTGCAGAAATTATCACACAATCGGAATCACGACTCTGTTTTTTGTGTTTAAATAAATAAAGCTGTTGCTGCAAAGGATTAATAAACAAATCACGACTCTTGAGAGGCACAACAGAATTGCCAATAAGATTGATTTTTATGGATTGATGGGCTAAGAAGAAGCCATAGAATATAGAAGAAAAAAACTGTAAGAACAAGACAGGCAACAAGTTACAGCATGTCATCACTAAAACCGGATTATTTTATAGCAAGCAACGGTCTCCCAAATATACTAAACAACAACAGCACCCGGCATATGATAAGACATATTCCTACAACGACACGCAATCGAGTACAACGAAACAACAACTGCCTACATAAAGACGAGAGCGGCAAGAATTACAAAAATAAACAGAATTTCATGGAAGCTCGGCAGTCTCAAGGCACAGACAATAGACATAAAGTCAGTCATATAAATTTAAAAAAGTCAAAAAAAGATCTTATCAACAGTGAAATTAAGGCATCAAATAGTCATGAAAATTCATCTATATTCTTATCAACGTCATCGCAGAAAATTGAGGATGATAACAAGTGCAGTTGGAATTTTGAAAGGTTGCTTGCCGTTCCTGTATAAATAATTTTGTTTTTAAGTCTACAATGTGACACAAATTATGTAAAAAAAAATATATAAATATGACTTTTCGGAAATATAAAGCATGTGCATATGCGCTGTGTCTTATAAGTATGTACAGTCTATTGCCGTAGTCGATAATTAATAATCGTTGGAGAAAGTTTGACTGGTGACTAAATTATAGGTCACTCTTTGGTGCTTTACATTTTTTTTTGTGTTGACGTCGAGTGGTGCTGCTTGAGGAACTGTTCATTTTCTACATGAATAAAAAGTTTCTAATTTATTTTTTTGTGGATGAAAGCTGAACACAAAAAAACTATTTAAGCTTTTCTGCTTTCATGAGATTTTAACAAAACCAACACTAGCGTAAATAAGAAGAAATTATTCACAGAGATTTATGAAAATGAAAAAGAATCCAGTAAGACTTAACTTTTGTGTTGATTGTGGCGCTGTTTTCGAATGGAACTAGAGTAAAACGTGGCTAATTGATTTTGTGAATTACTAAGTGAATTACACTTAATTATCAATATTTTGTGCTACCCTCCCCAATAATATCAATTTATTGGTGATAAGCATGAAATATAGTGAATCTAGTACGGCACTCAACGACTTTGTTGTATCAGAGAAGTGGACGCTTGGAGCTAATGTCTAGTAATATCTAGACCTACTTCTAGAGAGCCTCCAAAAAAAAGGTCACTGGTTAGCCGTAGGTCTAGTTATTACCGTCTAGTGTCCACTCGGGTATGGCAATTTTAGACTAGAAATGCTAAGTTTGTTTGACCGATAATTTCTCTAAATGGATGATATTGACATCTACTGGATTATATAGTGAAAATTCTTTAATTTATTACTTAATTGTCATTACCATGATGAGTTACTGTCTATGAACCGGTTTTTCGAGTAAAATCTAGTCTAAAACTTTGTGCATTTTCAAAGCATAGAACCCATATTAATGCTGGATTAATGCCATGTTTCAAAAGTTCAAAATTTAATATCTGAAGTCATTCGTGATTAGATTCTTTAATTGGAGGCTCCAAGAGCTCTAAAAAGTACACCTTTATCAGCTTAATATTCAAATTTAAGTTTATTAAGTACCAAAGATCTGTAAGTCAGTTGAAACAAAAAGAAATTGTGGCTGCAAGATTTTCATTAGTCGCCATAAAAAATTATTAATCTGAAAGTTATCTAAAGATTAGTTTAATCAAATAAACCCCAAATTCAAGATTAATCCAAAATTTCTGATAAAATTGAAACAAATTCCAGCCCTGCCATCCATAAAAGTCACTTCCAATATCAAAAATCAAGACAAAGTGCACAGCCACGCAAAAATCATAAATAAATGCACAAAAAAATTATGGAGAATGTGCTAAAATTTAAATATCTCATTAACAGAACGAAACCATTGAAATGGAAACAGAAGGCAAAGAAATAAGAAATCTAGAAGCTCAAATTACAATGAGAATCTATTTTTCCCCAGACTTGTTGTTCCTAGAATAAAGGCACACATTCAATTTATGGATGATAAATTTAATGTTTGAATATATTTTCGACAGATTTTATTGTCTATTCAGCCACAAATTAGAGAGAGAGACTCTTTTTTTGGATATCAATGGAGAATTGATTCCTCATTGTAGGTTCGTCATTAAAAGACATTTGAAGTACAACAATACAGTAATTGTCGCTATTATCGTAAAAGCAATGAACTTTTTGAAATGCAATGGCATTTAAAGATGGAAAAATTTATCTTTATCGGACTTAATAACATTTTTGCCAGTAAGCTTACAAATATGCGGCTCGAGATTGTAAGGAATGAGTCAATAAATCACTCTTTCACGTTACTGCCTTTTAATACAATCACAGCAAAATGTGTTAATTATATTAATTGAGCGCATTTCTGATCAAAAACGTGCTGTATGTTTGGAATGTCTATCGTTCGTACCTACTCAAGAAGTTTATCTTGAAGATGTTAACAGGAATGATAAGATATATATTGAGTTAAGTACAGCTCGAGTGGATTATTTTAAATTAAAAGTTAAGCTGGAACTACTAGTTGTACGAATTTTATTAAACTACATGGAATTAGACTTAATCGGAACTATTATCTGATAGATTAGTGGATATGATAGTTGATTAGTACTCTGGGGGACTATCAATTATGTTTCAGGAGCTTAAGAGTTAACAAAAATGAGAATGATTAAAATTTAATCCTTGGATTAGTATTTGCTCCATTGGATTTATTTTAAGTCCTAAAATTAAGCCAAATGTTGTTCTAAAGATGGAAAGCAATCCATTCTGAAGTCATTTATGAATGACTCAAAATTATCTCACAAAGCTTGAGAAAGTGCAACTAATTCCACACGATCATAACTGCGAAAAATGCACTATTAAAACCTGAACAAAGTAATATAACAATAGCAAATGGGGTTGTTCTTCAGTGACGTCTATGAGTCACAAATATTTTCCCAAAAAAAGAAACATTCAAGTTCCTAGAATATCAACTTTTGTAGTCTCCAATCCTTATTTGTGACATCATTTACGTACAACCCTCAATCTTACTTAATTCCAATCACATTCTTTTAGCACCTTCAACAAGGATTTTGACCTTGTAAAATTAATTAATTAACAATATTATAAGCAAAAACAGAATGCAAGTAAATGCAAAGAGAAGTAAAATTTTAAATTAATTTGTTATGCTCGACAAGAATGCGCGACGCTAATTAATGGTCAATGGAATGAATTTTAAAAAAAATTAATTAAAATTCAATTGCAACATTTTCACACAAATCATCATCGATGCTCACTTGTAGACTATGATGTATAGCACTAATTTCTCACACACGCTGAGATAATTAACGCAATTGAAATGGTAATAAGCTAGTTAAATTGTCAGTAGCCATTTATGTATAATCATTGGATATATTTTTTTTGTAAGTTCGAGATAATTGACATACCTCAATATGAGGAGCAACACAGCATAGTAAATAATTCTAAGGTCAATAACAATTAATTTTGTCACCTACTGCCGACATGTGATCAGTCTTGAAACTTATTCAATTATTTTATTTCGCCAATCAACTGTAATAGCATTCTTGTGGATATCCAAGCACTAAATTGTTATCAACGATAAGATTACTTCAGAATTCGAATGTCACAAAGACGAAAAATGCTCGAACGATTATGAAATTTTGTGTTCGATAAAGTTTAGTCGTTTTAAAATTAAAGGCTTCATGTCTATATTCGGCATTTTTTTTGTTTACTTTCGGAATGATTGCAATCAGAAAGCGATCAATTAAAAATCCTACATAAAACTTCCAAAACTCTACCTCTCATTTCTTTAATGTCACTTGAGCATTTAGGGGATTGTTTATTAGTGATGTCTGTGAATTTTGAGGAAATAACGACCATTTAATTTTCAAATTAGGTACTAGATTTTGAAACAATGGAATTTTTAAATATTTGTGAACCGTTAAATTTCAAACATTTTATAACCGTTAACTCTCAAATGTTCATTGCTCAAGATTATGACGTCATTTAAGATCGACCCTCGATTAACATTCCCTCGAAAATTGATTTTAATTTCTTTCTTTACTCTTTTTGTGCCTCATTTTAAATTCAAATGACATGACAATGTCTAAGTCGGCGTGAAACTTAAGTTTCTAGCTTTGATTTTTAAAAAAAGTCATAATACAATTTACAATGCTGTCGTAATTACTTATAGTATTTACACGAGTAGTCATTGACTGTTCATTGAGGGAAATCCTTAAGCTTACTATTCTACTATAATTCAATAAACACGTTAGGTGCGTTATAGAGAAGTTAAATAAGGTTATCGCACTTCGATAACGCATAACGCATTCTTGTCACTTTTGTAATCAGTCATTAAAATAGGTCGAGTGGAATTTCGAATTGCTGTTCAAGCTGAATTTTTGATTTTTAAGGTAGTCAATTGCAATGCAAATATAAAACTTAATGCCTCAAAAAAGGGGGGTTCTATGAATTGCAGCTTAAAAAACATGATCCCTAACCTTGACACAACATTTGCATTCAAATAGCCACAAATTACATTACTAATAGCAAATCAATTAAAAAGTAGCTTAATTAACATGTTTATGACATCAAATAATTAAGATTTCTAAGTATGTAACTGTGAATATAAAATAGACACTTCAAAATCGTGTTAATTTGCAACTTGATGTGTAGCTTTGAATTGATTGAAATTCGTTCAAAGTCGTGTTAAGCAACCGACTTTCGAAAAGTTACATCAAGACTAATGAAATTCATAAATTACATCAGAAAAATGTCAAAAATCGTTAGAAGAGTACGACTCTGAGCAGCAAATTAATATTGAATATCAAAAATGGGATATTCAGGAATGATGTCTTTCATTAAGTTAATTCCATAGTTTCTTGAATTATGTGACAAATGTAAACTTATAACAAATGTCACTGGATGAAGTTGGTGTCTTAAAAACCAAATTATGTAAGACATCATTTATGCACGATCCATAACAAACCTATAGCTTCCGAACTTAATAGATGTTTGGTAATCATTTGACAGCATTTTTAAATAGCCATAATAATTTAACATGACATGATTACTAATCGTACACAAAAAACATCATCTTTGATTATGTCGTGCCTACATAAATCTACAAAAAAATCATTCAGCAGTAACGCAATAAGAGCATTATCATCTCAGTGAGAACACAAAACAGCTCAGTCATCTAATTTTCTTGACAAGAAATAATTTTTGAAGCACTAAAGCAGCACACCCGATGAGTGATTAGATTAAAGCCTTTAAGTTAATAACTGGATTTTTACAATACAATCCATATTCAGTTATTATATTTACCGAAAAGCCATAAATCGAACAAAGTTTTTTTTTGCGGAGGCATTTCTGCTGCCTTTTTACTTAATTATACTATTTTTATGGACCATTCAAGATGCTAATTAATACTATTTTTACTTGCAGGCATTCAAAAGAACTGGACAATAAATACACACATCAGAGGAAGTATGACAATAAGATTTTTAGACACGATCTTCCAGATCGATTAGTTCTGCCTCCATTGCCAATTTGATATTTAATAAGTTGTTATGTTAATAAAGTACTGATTAAGAACAGCAATTACTGTGTGAATATTTACTTACCTAAACAGATTATCGGATATGAGGAGAGTTTCGACAGCTAGGGCATCGACTGCTTTTTGAACATGCTTCTTGCCATAAAACGCTCTGGCTGGTTCACATTGCAACATTGTATAGAAAGTTTCTAATCGTTTGACTTCGCCTGCTGCTTTTGTGTCACTCATTTTGGCAACAACAGCTGGATCTTGTAAAACTTCTTTCAGCGAATGTTTAAAGCCAGATGATGCATGAACTAGCATAAATTTGCTTCTACTATCAAGTATTATTTTCTGGTCAAGTTTTGTGGCTTGCTGTATCATGTATTCAAAGAAGGCATCCTTCACAAAAGCAGGTGACGCGATCAAAATACATTTAACAATCTCAAAGTTAACGTGACGTAGGATCCCTTGATAGACTGCTTCGTAAAATTTCGTTAAACCCTAAAGAACATAAAAATTAGCATAAAAGAACTCGTGATTGTAAAGGATTAATGTGGGCTACCTTTTCGTGCTGTGATGGATTGTTTTTCCGTTTTCTTGGTATCGCAATGTCAATTTTACTCCTTACAAGCGTCATGTTCGATGTGATAAGACAGATATGAGCGATTCCTTCTTGCATAACAATTGCAGCTACATCAGCCTTCTGCGTAACGTCACAAGCCATATCGACACGTTCTAGTGCAATTGAGTCCCATTCTGGTTTGGTCAATGTAAAAGCGCGATTTAATTCTAAGTCTATTGTATGATAAGCACCCATCTTCAAAAGTAATAGAGACAGTGTATTAATATGAGATACTACTTTGGTCATTGAACTTGCTTCTTCTTACCTTAACATACTGATTTTCAACAACATTCCTGCCTTTTAATCTCAACATACATCCCTGTGTATCATATTCAATGTTCTCAACCTTAATCGTCAATGTTGTGCGTACACGATTTGAAGTGCTACTTCCCGTCGCTGACTCTGTCTGAACCTGATGAGGTTTTGTGGGGATTATGAAATCAATTAATCAAAATATATTGGATTGTGAATGAAATACCTTTCGAATTGTGCTTGCAGTAACGACATCTCCTTCACATATAAGATTATAGGCATGCCACATATCCTCTGACTCATCAGGAATCACCTTAATCGATCTATTTAATTTTTTCATAAAGTCATGTTGTTATTGTTTTGATTTCGTGGAACATATTCAATGTCTCGTTCTTTATTACTTACCCACATCCTTTATCTAAATTTTTATATACTAGTTTCATGGTTAATTGTATCAATTATGTCAAATTAATGCCGAATAACATGGTTTTAGTTCAATTAACAATAAATTCATTAAAAGTTTCCTATTTTATTTTATTTTTTGAAGGGCTCAGTTTGCAAAGGTGTTTGAATTTTAAAATTCCGTTAATAGTTTGAAATTATTTTTTGGTACCAAAACATGTTTAACATACTCACTGGATCTATTTCTGAAAACAAGACATTCAGGTAATGAAAGATTTAGGTATTTTTATGTGTTCAAACTTTGTTTATTCAGAAATTTCATCTTATAGTAACTCCTTAAAATGATTTCATTACATTTTACATATAGTTATAATGTATTTTATATCTTAAAAATTTAAATCAAAAGCTTTTCAATGTCTTGTTGTACTGAGACAATTTGGTTTTTGAGTTGAGAGCCTTCATTGGATGTGACTGAACAAGCGATGATTGGTCGAGAAACTCCACAGGCACGTCCAAGAGCTTGCTTAGAACGAACAAATACATAAGGTACATTCTTATCTTCACACAATAGAGGTAGATGCAAGATAATTTCTAATGGTTCTGCGTCTGCTGCCATAACAATAAATTCCGATAATCCACGATTTAAAGTCTTTGTTGCCTCATTAGCTCCTCGTCGCAATTGCTTGTAATTAACAGCTTGTTGAATGAGCGTCATGATCTTTGTGGTCAATGTAGCATCAGCCAATGGATAGGCTTTAGGATTAACTGCTTCGTCTGCCTGTAAATAAGAACACACGATTTTGTAAATAAACAAACCAATTTTTGAGGTTAGAATAAACAATGTGAAATGCTAAACTTAATTATACTATATTTTCGCTATGCTTATTACATAGATCAAAGTGAAAACATGCATTTATCTTTAATTAAACTTAGAAACATACTGTATTTAATTAAATTTTCATGAGAATCAGTCAAAAGTTTTACAGCATGCATATTTTCAAGAGTTTCTCATAGAAATTGTACTTAATTCACTTACCATTTTATTTTCAGTTGTTTATTGAACGATTATCTTTTAATTTGAACACTTTTTAAGTCTTTAACTTTTGTTTTAATGTGATTTAATAAAATATTTTGTTGATAACAACCCTCGGCTCAGCTTTGCTTCATTGGGACTTAAAACTTCCGTGCCTAAAATGTGCTGAATTGTGCTTAAGAATTGGTGCTGAATTGAACAATTTGAATTTTTAATGCCACGTGACTTTTAAGTTGGAACCGGCATTTTCATAAAGAATCAACTTTAACAACATTTTAACAAATGCATCGATTTAAAATCAATATTTGCAAGACATTGAGCTTCAGATCGATCTGTTTATATCACTCAATACAGGAATTTTTCTCTTTAAATATTTACATCAAATAGCATTAGAATGCATTTTTCAGTACGTCAATGTCAATCACCATGTTCATCAACTCCTTTTTGATCTTTTCAAAATCTGTAATGTGCATTAGAACTAATGTTTATTTATCTTTCTTGATTATTTGAAAAAAGAAACATTGAGAACGACCTTTAATGACATTTGTGGAATTGAATTACCAGAGATGATTAGCTACATTTTCTAATCAATTTATGACTGATATTAATGATAATTGCATTTGCTTAAACCGGTAAATATACTCATATGGACCTAGAATTTAGTTGTTTTAAATGATTTGTACTGAAAAATGCACTTTGGGTGGCTGTATGGCTTGGTTCGGGTCACTCATTTATGATGGGCACTTTGAATTGTGGTATGTGGGTGAGATCGGGATTGTAGTGTCACATAGTCTAGACTTACTCTTGATCCCTTCCCTACTTTAAAATTCGCAAATTGCAGACATACTTCCCATTATGTTAAAACTTGACATTTCCAGCAGTACACGACCATTTCAAGCTCTAAAAATGCGCCACTTCTGCTCATTAAAAGCTGCTACTGCACTACATTATTGCTACTATTCTAACACATTAATATAATAATCATTAGAAGGAATAATTTAGATTTTTACCAGATTCAACAAATTCATGGCCGTCAAATGTCATTTCCATTAATGCACTTTTTTTACACTCCTTTATTTAAAAATTCGTGATGCACACTTTAATGAAATAGTTTTAAACACACATTTTTCCAATCAGTCAGTCATCAGGTGACGCCAGTCAAAAGCATAATAATCGAGCAAGTGCAAAAAAATATTCCATCAATTTGTAATAAGTTTTAAAAGGAAACGAATCACTCGTCTAAGCATTTAGTAAATAGAACAGGAATACTTTCGGCACCTCGTAAATCACAAGACATACTTGAAATTGAATACGTAAATTTACACTTGCCTCAATCATACATTTTAATAATCATACATCACTTGTGTTCAATGATAACGCATCATCCATACATATCGATTGCATGCTCCTAAGTTTTTCCCGTTTGTAATATGATAAGAAAAGTGCATGCATACAATAACTTAAGTATAAAGGCGACAGTGCAGCTCCAATGTCGATTAGTTTGTGATGAAAAATTGATCTGTGAAATTGGATAGAAAAATTAGAGAAAGGAGGAGGATTTCTTTTTCTTCGTGACTATATTAAAATTACGGAATGAGCGATAGCTTAATACTGTTACATTTGCATACATATTAATGTGATTCTTTTTTAAAACTAGAACGAAATAGCAATAAAATTGTTTTATTTTTTGTTTCTTTAATTTTTAAATGTCTAACGGAATCGAACTAGCTCAGTATCATTTAGTAAGCTCAAGTGAAAACGGTCGAAAGATATATAAGATGGAACAAGGCAAAAAGTCACGACAGTTTCTGGCAGCGATTTTATGTAAGTGTGACTTTATGTCTTAATCAAAATCAACGGAAGCTGTGTGACAATAAAAAATGATTATCAATAGAAACTTTTAAACAAATTCATTGTGATAAGCAAGCATTCCGCGACATTATACTCGTGACTTGTAAAGACATTCTATGAATATTAATTTCTTTTTTTTTTCGCAATGTGAATTTCGAGTTTGTGTATTTATTTTTAATTTCTTCGCAGCTAATTTAAGTTCTATTACCACTGGATTATGCTTGGGTGAGATTTCTAGTGTTTAATATCTTTATGGACGGTTTTTTTGAAAATGATTTTAAATTATATCTCAGGATGGACATCTGCGGCAGAGTCCAAAATGAAGGACTTGACACAGTCTCCACTCTCGTCAATTCCTTCAACAGAAGAATTTTCATGGATTAGTAGTTTGACTCCGTTGGGTGCTTTAGTTGGTATAATATGATCACATGTTTATTAGACTATTACTAAGTTTCAAATTCTTTTAAAGGACCTTACATTGCGGGTCCCCTTACAAGTAGAATCGGACGAAAATGGACTCTCTTGGCTAGCTCAGTATTCTTCATCGCATCCTTCATTATTCTAATTTTCACAAACACTGTTGCATTTGTATTTGTTGCAAGAATTCTTCAAGGATTGGGTGTTGGGTAGACATTTGAAATTTTCTTTTTGTTTCAAAGATCCTTAGTAAATCTTTCTAGCTTTGTGATGACAGCTCAGACTATGTATGTTGGTGAAATTGCGTCTGATGAATGCAGAGGTGCTTTAGGTAGCTTCATGCAGCTTGGAATTGTCATTGGAATCCTTTACGTATATTGTGTCGGTCCATATGTCAGTTTTCAATCATATCAATGCTACTGTCTCATTATTCCAATCGCTTTTGTTGCAACATTCTTCTTCATGCCAGACAGTCCACATTATTATATTCAAAAAGGTCAAGAAGAAAATGCCGTAAAATCATTAAAATTTTTAAGAGGAAAATCAACAGAAGGTGTTCAACAAGAGCTTGATGAAATTAGAGCAACTGTTGAAGAATCTATGAAAAACAAAGCAACTTTTCGTGACGTCTTTGCAAATGCTGCAAATAAGAAAGGTGATTTTGGTGCCAAAAATTTAGAAAGTGCAAGTTAACAAATATTGTCTTTACAGCTTTCATAATCTCTGCGGGTTTGTTGACATTCCAACAACTTTCTGGTATTAATGTTGTTCTATTCTACTGCCAGTCTATTTTTGAAACTGCTGGAAGTTCCTTAAAACCAGCAATCGCAACAATTATTGTTGGTACGTAAAATCAATTGATTAAAACTCGAGTTTGAATCTCATTATTGTTAAATCTGATATATAGGCGCAGTCATGGTGTTCAGTTCTGGGTTGACTCCAGTCATTGTCGACAGACTAGGAAGAAAAGTTATTTTACTGTTTTCAGCAGCAGGAATGACTTTATCTTTAGCTCTATTGGGATTGTTCTTCTTACTTGACCATAATAAATCTCCAATAGCAGAAAGTATTAAATGGCTTCCGATTGTATCACTCATCGCCTTTGTGTTCGTCTACTGTGTTGGGTAAGAAGAAAATATGAATCCTTAGTAATAATCACTATTAATACTAATATTCCTAATAGATTCGGACCTTTACCTTGGGCGGTAAGCTGAACTAAATGCTTCTTGTCATTTAATTTGCAATTTTTCTTTCTCTTAATTAAGGTTCTTGGTGAAATGTTTGCTCCAAATATTAAACCAGTAGCGAGTTCCATGGCAACGTCTGTATGCTGGATCTTTGGATTCATTGTCACAAAATGGTTCTCATCCTTACAAGATGTTATTGGAAGTTATGGTGCATTTTGGTTGTTTGGGGTGTTCTGTGCTGTCGCATTTGTATTTACTTTGACACTCGTGATGGAAACCAAAGGACTTAGTTTACAAGAGATCCAAGATCGTCTTAACGGACGCAAGTAAAATATTATTAATCATAATGTTAAACAACAATAAGGTAGTAGTAATTTGACTGCACGTGGGCAAATAACAATACTTTAGATTCAAGTGCTTCAACAATAATATTATAAAGTTTTCAAGATCAAAATAAATAATTCATACTAAATGTGTCAATAAGTAGGAATATTGAAAGTCCAGCACGTTTTGTGTCGTAAAGCTTGATATCTATTGTTTTTAAATAATGTAACTGTAATTAAGTTTCTTTATTACCTAATAAATTAAATAGAATTCAACAAGACTTGTTTAATCTTTGAAAACTGAAGCATGAATGTGTAGAGTCATAGGGGATATCATATATGTATCGCTATGACTCTACAAATGAACAATTTCCTCCCAAAAATTTCGACTTTTATAGCAAAATTTTAGTCAAGTTGCATCATAAAAAAATGGCACTAACTGGAACCAACCGAAAAACTTTCAAATCTGGTTCCGAAACTTTTCATATTGTTTATATTCAGTATAAAACAGCTGATTGGAAGTGAAAAGAGTGAAAAAATGTAATTTTTATTAGTTATCAATTATTATTGTCATTAAGGAAACAGTGATCAAGTGATAAAGATGCTTAAAAGTGTGTTTAATCTGAAAACCTTTCAAAAGTCTTTATCCCTTACTAATTTACCATTAAATCAGCGATTTTCCATTAAAGCAATAGACATTTTCCATAATAAACTTGAGTAAGTCAATATAACATGATGAGCATAACATAGCAGTGCCAATAATGACACAATTTACCTAATTAATTGCAGGCAATTGAAAAAAGAAAATGTAACGGAACCAGAAAACTCATTGGAACTAATTTTTGCGCACGTACTTAACAAGAAATTATTGAGGGAAGTTAGAGGAAAGAGTCTTGAAAAATTGACATTAACAGATGAAGAAACACAAAAAATCGATGATTGCGTTCTATGTAGACTATCTCGAATGCCAACACAGTACATTCTTAAAAATTGGGAGTTTCGTGATTTGGAACTTAACATGAAAATTCCAGTCTTCATTCCACGACCTGAAACGGAAGAATTAATTGAATTAGTCACCCAAAAGATTGATCCAAAACCAGAGGATGACTGTAAAGTCTTGGAAGTTGGTTGTGGAAGTGGAGCAATATCATTATCATTATTAAATGAACTGCCAAATTTAAAAACTATAGTAGCAATCGATCAAAGCAAGACAGCATGTGAATTAACTTTAGAAAATGCTAAAAAGCTTAATCTTGCTGATCGGATTAGAATCTTTAAGCACAAAGTAGACTCCGATAAACTTCCTGACGAAATCACTATGAACGGAAAATTCGATTGTATTATCTCAAATCCACCGTACGTCCCTAAAAAAGATTTACTTAAGCTTGATCCTGAAATATACTTATACGAAGATTTGAGAGCATTAGACGGTGGTGAAGATGGTCTTGACGTAATTAATATTCTATTAAAATTGGCTTCAAAATATTTGAAGAAAGGCGGGAGTTTGTGGCTTGAAGTTGATCATCGACATCCAGAAATTATTGAGAAAATAGTCGAGATGAATCAAGATGACTGGAAGTTGAAATATGCTGCATGCTATAAGGATATCTTTAAGAAAGAGAGATTTGTAGAGATTGAAAAAGTATAAGTTATTAATTTCAAACTTATTTATCAAATATCCTAATAAAGGAAGTAATCAAGTTGACTTAAAAGTAAAAAAAAAAAGTATGACATTTAACTTATAGAATTACAAGATTCGTCCACGACAATTCTTTGATCCACATTTGCAGTATAAAACCTTTGATGGAACGCTTCCAACTTCGTAGTTATAATTCCAAGTTAGTTCTTCTCCTGCTTTTATTGGACGCTGCGCAAAAAATGCAATCCATGGGAAGCGCAAGTCATGAGTATCGACGAAAACACTTTGTACGAAAAGATTAGGTTCACACGAATGCTATTAATGAAAATTATTGAATTAGATGTCACAGAAATTTATATGAATTGTTACTTACATTAAAATATCTGCCAATATTTCCACATTGCTTAGCATCCATGATGTAAACTTTCTCTTTCGGACCATAAAGTTTACGGAATGGAATTCTCATTCCTTCTGGATATCCAAGATTACCAGTATTAGTATCAACTGGAATCATACTGACCATTTCGTCATCAGAAGAATCTCCAGAATTTGTTCGTTGTACTGTGGCTGTTGATGTTCCTGGATTCTTGTTCTTATCAGCCAAATTAGTTCTCGAAGATCTGGTTACAATTTCCCTTTGTCCTGAAGCCTTAGTTTTTGATATAAAGTCTCCATCCTCATAATCATGAGAATCATTCTTGTCATCGTAATCGCTGTCTGAATCTTTTTCTTCGTCAGACTCATCTGGATAGACTATACCAGATTCATATCCTTCCTTTCTATTTTCAGCATTCTCAATCAAATCCAGTTCAGCAAAATATTCATCACCATGATCCAATCCTTGACATAATGCATTTGCATCCTTTTCAGTATACAAGTTTCCAGCATAAATAGACAAGAAAGTTCCTTTCGGAATATCATGTAAACACTGCAAGCCCCATCCACGAGCTTTTGTACGATAAAGTTGCATCTTAATACGAACTGGCTGTTGAACGACTTTATTTAAGCAACGATCTGAGCATTTACAACGACTATTACATTCATAAATGCCTGTTGGAACTACAGACAACAATCTCTTCCATAAGTATGAAATGTTCTCTTCATCTTCTTCCATCAAGTTCTTGTATTTGGCTCCACGAATAGTCAACTGGAAGCAAGCACATTTACTCTTGTCAACACATTCGTCTGTACAGTCACAGCATGACATAAATTCTGGATCTGTATTAATATTTACTCCGTTCATTGGAATGCGACTAGCCGAATATATTAATGGCGGTGGACTTTGGTTATCGAAAGCATTAATACAATTAACTTTCATGCCTTCCTTACCATCCGTTATGTCATCAATAAACAATGGACATGTATTTTTATCGACATGATATGAAGCAAGAACTTGAATTGATGGATCAAAATCAAAATTGTCAACATTAAGCATGCACTTAGACGTATTTAAAAATCTAAATACTTCATTCATGTCTCTTAATCGTCGTCCACAAGGTGCTTTATAGACAACAAATCTGTAATTTCTTTGTCTCACTATTTGACGTTCCCAACATGACAATAGTGGCTTCGACAATGGACTGAAACTTGACAAATCGTTCTTCAATGCTGGGAGACAGTTTTTTGAGCATTCATGCTTTACATACTTCTTGGCACATATTCCAGATTTGGGTGTAAAATGGCGAACTTTGGCAACAACTGATGGATCTTCAAGATAGATATTTCTATCATTTAATATAATTGGTGCTTGTGTCATAGCTGGTTGTTGTAAAATTGCTGGCTGTTGAATAATCATTTGTGGTTGTGGCTTAGCTGTAGACTTTTTAGCAATATTCTTCTTTGCTTCATTACTGCTGGAATCAAGAGTGCCTTCATCGTCATCAATTGTTATGTACGAGAATGCGCCAGGATCATTTCTACGTTGAAATGCATTACTTTGAGTTCTTTGTGTCTGTTGATACATTGTATACAATCGTTTAGATCCACGATAAAGCCATTCACTGACATGTTCAGCTGTGAAATAAACCTTTACTAAACTGCAATCGACTTCTTGAACGATGGTTTTACGCCAATTTCCAGCACGTTCTGTCAATATTTGTGTATTAACGCGGACATTAAGCAATGCTCTTGATCTGTTGGTTTTACTTTCCAGATAATCACGAATGAACTGCCTTAAATTTGGATGTACATCATCCCAGACATTTTCAGACACTTCCTGGATCTCTCGAACTTCGTTTGGGGAACAATACTTGACTTGTCCATAATCACAAAATACCAAATAACGTCTCTTATTGTACTGTGTTAATTTCTCACCAATAACTCCAGGCAAATACCTCTTTTGAGGAAGTGGTGCTTGATGCTTATTTCTAGCAACAGATCGAGGAAATAAAGCAATAACGCGTGCACCAATCTCAAGTTTATCTGAAATTGCTGATAAAGAGACTTCCTTGCCACTAATAATTGTCAATGAGTTGGGCAAATTGTCACAAAATTTGACTTTAAATTTCTTTCCATCCTGATTAGACATTTCTTCGATAATTTGACATGGCATCCAGTGTGGCATTTGAACTCCACGTTGTCGAATCGCGTAGCATATTTTGTCATTTTCTATTGCTGATGGTGTCATTATAGCTTTTGGAGGAAGTGCGCCTGTATTGTTATTTGAACGAATAACTGGAGTGATTGAAACTTCCGGTTTTGACCTGTCCAAAAGTGAAGTAGGTCTATTGTTCGAATTACTTGAATCAGGGAGCTCAATTTCTAAATTTAATGAGGGCCTTCGTTGAATTTTAGGTCTGTTGAATGAATAAAGTTCGTCGTACAATACATAAGATTTCCGTTCTAGCATTTTAATCTCTTCATTCATTTCCTGTAAAGATTTTTCATTTCTATTGATTTTTGACTCAATAAGCTTGTATTCTTCCTCAATCTGCATTTTAATGTCAATTTTAGTTGTTAAATCTGTCAATATATCCTCAACTTCTTGTTCTACTTCCGCATCGAAGACTATTAATGCTTTTTCGTTCCTTAATTTTCGTTCAGCTTCACTTGTTTCGTCTTCCTCATCAGAATCAATAATTTCAACGAGATCTTGTTTTTTAGGGATCTTAACTTTAACCCATGGATCATTGCTTAAAAATTTCGAGCAAAGTTCCTCATACGTTTCTAATGCTTCATTGTAGCATGTCGAACAAACCCATTGAATTTTAGTTGGCTTTTTAACAATATAATACATGCTCAGAACAAATGATGGACTTTCTAAGTATTCATCATCCTTATTTCGAGGACATTCGGGATTAATGCATTCCTTTAAATTTAATCGACTGATGGAATCGCCATTAACTTGCATTTCTTCATCATTCAATTCTTGAATTAAATTATCAGATTCTGCAGGTTCGATTGTTGCTGATTTGATATTTTCTTCTTCTTCTTTAGCTGTTTCTGACTGTATATTAATTTCTGGTAGCGGTTCTCGACTATTTTCTGATTCTTCGTCGTCAGAATCGAGGCAAATAACATCAGCATTGGTACTTTTTGGTTCCTCAATATTTGCTTTTGCCTGTTCTATTTCACCTTTTTGTTCTTCCTCAATTGTTGGAACTAATTCACTTGTGTCGGGTTCTATTTCTTCAATTTTAGGTTTAATTAAAGGACTTGTGTCCTTTTTGTCTGTGGTTATTTCAAGTACTTTGCTTTTAATTTCTTGAAGTTTTTCTGGCGATAAGCTTTTAAGCAAGTTAATTATATCTTCTGGTGTGTCACTTAGTTTTCTTGTTGGAGGGAGTTTCTCTAAAGTACAGTAAAGGAAGTAAAATATTATAGACTAGAAAATGTTCATTAATTAAGAATTTTTACCTTCTGATGTTGAAGGAGCTTCACTTTCGTCTGGCTGAGATTCTTTGGTTAAATTAGGAGTTTCTTCGTCCTTAGTATTTTCAAGACATTCCTTTATATCAGATGTTATAGTAAGTTTAGTCATATTTTCTTCTGGAATTTCTAAAGTTTCAATTTTATTTTGAGGATCTTCTTCGATTACTTTAAATTCCTCGTGAATAACTGGTTCTTCTGATGTTTGAGCGGATGTCAAATTGTCAGGCTCATCAACAGTTTTTTCTGGCTGTATCTTATCAACCTTTTGTTCTTCAATTTGTGCTGGTTCTTTATCTTTTTGAACTAAATCTTTGTTGCTGTCAACTAAATCTGTAATTTCTTGAAATTTATCGTCAGTTATTGGTTCCGTTGCATTTTCATCTTTTACTGGATCTTCAATAGCATCTATTTTCAGTTCCATTTCGTCTGATTTCGCGGTTTTTTCTTTATTTGAAGGTTCTGGTTCCTCAATTGTTATCTTTTCATCAGATTTCACTTCGTCAACTTTATTGGATGCTGTGGATTCTTGTACAGTCTCTGGTTCATTTATATTTTTACTAATAATCGAGTTTTCATTTTCATTTGAAAGATTTTCACTAATTTTATCTTTATCAATATTTTCTTCCATTTTACTGCTTTACTCGATTTGATATTGATTTAGTCTTATATTATTGTGCTATTCTGATGATATTATGCCTTAATTAACGATTATAAACTGGTAAAATAAGAGAATATTTAATTTATTAAATCTTTAAGCAATTTATTCACCGCAATTCAGCAAGCATGAAAATTTTGAATTTCAAAATACAGTTTATTTTATTTAAATAAATTTGTTGGGAATTGTTCATTAAACTTAATTTTTAAATCGCTATAAGTAAATCCTTTTTGTAATTTTACTACTACATCACTCTCTGTTTCTTCCATAATTAAGGGTAGCGAAACATTCACTACTTGACTAGTTATTTCTATTGGTCGAACTGATCCAAAGAAGTTTGTTCTGTTAAAATAAAAGTAATCAGTAAAAGAATTAAGGATGTATTGGATAAAGTGCTTACATTGGAACCGAGTTTGGATCTTTGGGATATAAATCTCTCCTTATTCCTACTGTTGATATACAGACTCTTTTTGGGCAAACTGTAAGAAACTCGCCCATTGTCGATTTACTGTTGGGCTGTACCTTTTCTAGGAATTCTAATGCATAATAAGTATAACGATCTATGATGTAGACTCCAATTGCTGGATCAACGTGATGACTTAATGAATCTTCACCAACCAAGGAACTTGCAACGGCTAATATATTTGGTGAGTAGAATTTCTCATACATAGAAGCAGCTTGGCATGTATCAATCATAAAGAACAATTCATGATATCGTTGTTTCTGCCACATTTGTTCAATAGCATCAGCCAATTCTTGACTAGTGATTTCTTCACTGTCTTGAAACTTTAAAAAGCCTTCACCTCCATGTCCTGTTAAATAAATTAATACATTTGATCCTGGATCTGTTAGAAGCTTCTTGGATCTTGCAGTTCCGTTCTGAACTCGTCCAGCTATTAATATAATAATACTTGATAAGTGCTTAAATAAAATAAATGCTAAACTTACTCAACAAACGAACGAAATTCTCGACAGTAACTTCATATCCACGATAATCAACTTCAACGTCGTCTCCATAGACATTGATGTTTTGATTAACATTATTAAAAACTGTTGCTGGACGAGGATTTCTTGGATTACAAGCCATATCTTCAGCAATCATTAAAATAATCTGTGAATCTGGAATTCCAAGCCTTTTAACGCTACGATATATTGACAGTACATTAGCTACATGACGATAGTTGAACCAAAATCGACTTGTGTCCACTAGAACTGCCCAATTATTCGTGTGTCCTGCCGAATTTTCAACATATTTTGTTGGAAGCTGGAAATCAGAGAAAGACATTTTAATAATTAAAGTAAAATGATTTTGTGGCTTACTTACTTCAATATCATTACACAGACAAGTTAATGGATAGACGAAAAAGAGGATAACTTGAAGAATTAATTTTATATCCATAATTCAAGTGATTTTTAAAAAGGTAAACAAAGAATCTCAATTCAGCGCCAATTCAGCGAATTCAGCAAAAAAAATTTTTTAAAAAATTAGAATTTATTATTTATAACAAATATAATATAAATTAGGGAACTGATTCAGATATGAATAGTAGTGAGCAGAATGTGTCCGATTCGTGGGAACAGTACGCAGATGAAACAGAGGTAAGCATTTAATTTACATTCAATTAGTACGAAAATAATTCAGTGACACTTAAAAAGTTAAAAATCAAAGAAATACTCTCGCACTGATCTCTCAAACAAACATAAATAAAGCTCCAAATAATGATTAATCATTAATAATTGGTCGTTTACAAAGTTGAGTTAATTATCGTAGAGATCCTACTGAATTTTGACATTGCTAACCTTAATTTTTATTACATCCACAAAAAAAAAATCATCAGCTTGAAAAAAGATTAGAAAAGGAGAAAGTGAAACGTGAGCAAGAGGAAGAAATGTCAGTGACAAGTCAAAATGGATTAGCACTTAATGGTGGCAGTGATGATTTTAAGCCTAGGATATTACAAAGATCACAGGCAAAAGGACAGCAGCAGAATCAAATAAAAATATTGAAAAGACCAGAATCGTTAACGCCGTCAAGTTCAACTGGTAACTTACAGAATAGCTCAAAGCCTCAAATGAAGACATTAGAACAAAGAGAAAAGGAGTATGCGGAAGCGCGAAAAAGAATATTAGGATCTGCTGAGACATCTCCAATCGATCAGAATCCATTGTAAGTACAGTAACAATATAAGTTAAGCTTATCTGGATCAGTGAGCATTATTTGGAATCAAAATTTAAAGAGTTTCAATAAACTACCTGTCAAGTTCAAAATTAGAGAGTACAAAATGAGTGCATCAGTACGATTCCGTTGCCAATAAATGCGCTAAATTCACATAATCTTTCAATGACCTAATTTCTACGAAAAAGAAAAAATTTGCATGCAGCTCATACTCTTTATTTGTTTTTGTATTGAAGGAACAAGCCAGTGATTTTTAACAAGGTATCTCCATCATCGTCTTCTAATAATCTGCAAAATTATAATAGTCAGCAATACCAATTCTCACAGCAACAACAGCAGCTACAGCAACAACAAAGAATTCCTGATAATGTAATAAGGGAACCGAAAGGACCTAGTAATTTAAATCCAGGATTTAGGATACGACGATAGCTAAATTCCATAAATTGTCATAAAAACATCATACACATTATGATTAACACTTTCCTTTCCTACTTACTTATTATGTTAAAATTTGGAAATTTACCTTATTATTTCATTATTATGAATTGATTATTTTTATGAACTGTACAGATTGAGATAAACGACTTATATGACATTTCAACTCCCTACTCTTTTTTTTTCAATTTATTGTAATTTGCCAAATTTATTAGTGCATCTTATTTATTTTAATCTTTTTTTTCTTCCTTAACATGATCTATGATTAAATCATTACTTATTAAAGTTTAATTATATTCATACATAAATATACATATTATCGATCGCGGACTGTATCTTGGATAATAAAACTCATCAAAAAAGAAAAAGAAATGAGATAAATTTACTTTCATACTTTTGTTTTCTTTAATGTCCCGAAAGCATTAATGACAGTTGTCGTTGTTTTGGCTGCAGATGACGATGATGATGATGTTGTGGACGAATTATTTGGTACGAGCTTATTGTCTGAATTTTGGACATCCCATTTTGTCTTTCTTTTTCCACTAATCACTTCTGTTTTGATATTTTCCTTCTTTTGCTTCTCATGCTTATCCATTTCAGCCTTTTGTGCCTTCGCTAACTCCTCATAGTAAGATTCTGGACCATAAATGGATACATCCCATTGATCAGACGAAAAGTTTGTTCCGAGTTCATTTAAAGCGCAATATTGAATAAGTTTATCGTAGATTGATGGATTACGGAATTTCTTTTCTTCTTGGATGTATTGATTTAAATCATATTCAGGCTTTTTATTCATCTTTTGAGAAATATTAGTGACCATTTCTTGTAGTTTTGGATTCTGTCTTGAATGTCTTGGTTCCGCTGGAAGATTAAATCCGTACTTTTTATAATATTTTGCATATTTGTCCTCTAAGTCAGCATTTTCTTCAGATTCTTGGTTCTCTCCTTTCATCTCTGTATCACTATGTGCTTCATCTTCCTGAATATCATTATAGCTCACCAATCTGAATGATTTTTTTGGATTATTATTTTGATTTGGTTGCATTACAATTTCTGGCGTTGATTCCTTTGAATCCTCTTCGTCAGATCCTTGATCATCAAAATGGTCTTCATTTTCTGAGTCTGTATAAGTTGCTGTGAGACTTGCTAGCGCAGAATTCATTTTATTTAAATAACTTTAAACTTTTTTTCTTATTTTTCAAACCTTTTGATTTGTTTACAACTTTCTGAATTGAGCTGAATAGTTGCTGAATTGAGCTGAATAGTTGCTGAATTGTGCTGAAGAAAAATTCATATTCAAAAATATTCGTTAATTTAACGAAAAAATAAATTTATTGATTAAATCACACTTAACTTAACTAAGAATAATGTACTGCTACTTCCACATTGAGCTAAAGACTGATAAGAAGTTATGATCATAGTCTGATGGGATGGTTGCTTGTTTCGGTGTTTCTGTGTAATATTTTTCAGGTTCCTCGCTGAGAATTTTGTCACCCAAAGCTTTCAATTGAATGTGGAACATCTGCTTGTTTAATATTGGGCATATTAAGTTGAATTTGTCAATTTGCTTGTTAATATTCTTTACATCATTTTCATATTCCTTTAGAACTTTAGTCCATTTCATTTTATCGTCATCCTCTGCAGGAAATTTCAATTTAGATCTCTCGACTTTTAATTTATCCTTTACTTCCTGAATACTTTCTCTAATTTCTTTATTTAACGTTATAAATTCAGGCTGAAACCCGTTATCCAGCAATATCTTATTAAGTTTGTGTGTTACAAAATCTACATAAGGATTTTGACTCTGTGCATTATCAAGTGGCTTTCCTTGTCCTGATAGATTATTAAAATCACCTTTCTGCATAGATTCCATAATTAAATCCTCAACGACACGGTCAAATCCATACTTAGTTTTAATCGCATGCTTCTTAAAATGATCACCTTTTTTTACCAAAGCATTTTCGGAAGCAACCGATTTTTGCAGTCGATGTTCAAGGACATTCTGTTGAGCTCTCATAGCTCGAATCTGTTGATATTGCTTCTCACGTTGAAATATAGTTCCTGCACCATATCCTTCATTGGACAAAAATACTCTATGTTGTGGTGCTGTATGCTTAATGTCAAATATTTTGACTTCTTCTTCGGGATCCATTTCTATATTTCTACGTGCTTTTGCGAACTTTTGCAAAAGAAATTTAAAGCATTCATCAAGTTCCTGAAATTTTTCTATGCTAGCATCTTGCGTGCCTGAATCTGGATGATACTTTTTCACTAATTCTATGTATGATCGACGGACTGTGTTCTGATCTGAGTTTTCTTTCACGTTAAGGACTTCATAGCATCTCTGAAAAGGTTTAATTGAATATTATTTTGTAGATTTCGTACATGTTTGAGTTTACTTACTTTATAGAGATCAGCTCGTCTCATATATGACATGCTTCTGTATAAAATCAAGTTGTTGATTATTATACTCCATTTATTACTGTACATGTTATGAAACTGTGCTAGAAATTTTGTGCTATTGAATTGTTGGGAGGTGATGCCTCTAAATGAGCTTTTGATAGTTTTCTTATGATGGAATTTGAAAGACTGGACCCAAAATTTATTTATATTTTGAAGACCACTTGTGAGAATAATTGAAGCTTAAAATATTATTATTTACGTGATAACAAAAAAAAAATTTCAGCTGACAGCCGCAAAAATCTAACGAAAACAATGACTGCATGTCTGGATTGGGGTGCAAAAAAGTCACAAACTGAACTATAATGTCTCATCTTTTAAAATTGACTCTTTTAATTCTCATGAAAATTAAATTTTATATCCTATAACATTTTAAGTAGATCCTGTAAAGCCCTAATCGCTTTATGATACATTTTTGATGAGAATGTCAACAAATCTCACGACACGTGATCGACCAAAATTTTCATGCACTGATTGAATATAATTTGATAGATTAAAATGTTTTTTAATACACAATAATTCAGAAATGAATTTTTATTGGCATCACTGGTTACGTAAGAATATTATTCCTGAATGTCCTTATCGCCACGTGTCACAGACAAATATTAATTTGTGGGTGCATCACTCGCCAACGTTTCCTTTATATTTACTATGTGTTGCATAAATAGCTCAATAATCCTCACACAACTTAACATGACTGTTCATTTTTATTCAGTTTGCAGCATGAATAACAGCAAAATCATTGATATATATTTCAACAAGAATTTAGACTTAATATTAGGTTGCAAAAAGAAATGTTTTAAGGATTTGCTGGTTCATTGTTACTACATTGTTGGACAGTACAAGATGTTGATTGCTCATTTTTAATTTTGACATAAGCTGAGTATGAAGTTACAAAACACAAGAATAGGACAACTCCCAATAAAGACGCTTTAATAAATCCAAAAAATGTCGTATCAATCATTAAAATGTTTAATGGATGCGCTGCAATACCAAAAGCAGAGACTACAACTCCAGGAATTATCATTTTTATGTCTCGCTGTAGATGATTAAGAATTAGTTTGATGCTTTTTTAAACATTCTGGATGTTACTTACAGTTACTACTCCCAAAATAAATGTTACATTAACGGCTATGATAATGACCTGTGCTAGCATGTCAAGGATGTAGAGACATCTGTCAATTTCTATTTCAAAGTAGAACATAAAGTAAATACTTTAAAACCTGTTTGAAATTTAATTAAAGTACCAGATCTGGGAGAGGTATAAAGCATCACCTCTCCTAAACTCGAATCTGCTATCTCAATCAATGTCTTATTTTCCTTGTACACTCCTGACTTTAATGCATTCAGTGAATGAAAAAACAAAAGTAAAGCCACAATCATGTTAAATCTGAAAATGAATTAATTTTGCTCTAATGACATGGATATCCTTTAAAAATTGTAGTATAACTTACACACCAACAATGAAGGCGCCAGTTATCACTTTGAAGCACAAGAATCTGTCAATTGTTTTCATTTTAATTTTTATCTCGAGCTTTAAATGATTTTAACCAAATGCAGATGCAGCACGAGGTATCAAAATAAAGAGCTGATGTTCATTTCATTCATAAAGCGCATTTAAGAGATTTAAGGATCAAATTTTATTCACAATTTTGTTTTGAAACATACTTTATGTTTAAATGCTAGACTATTTAAATTCGATATTGATTGATTTACGAACTTAACAAATAAGTAACAGGGACACATTTGGTATGAGAAATATTGGAGTTTTTAATGTTTTAAGGAAATCATAAGAAAATGATCTTCTGAACATTATGCATAGTAGCTAGGAAGCTCTCTTTCAGATTTTATTTTTTCGTACAATGAATAAAGGACTCTTGCAAAATAAATTGAAAGACAAGAGTGAATTAAAATGACGAAAAATAAAGGAACAAGGAAATAACCAATTAAAGAATCAAACGAACCCACTACAAAAATAATGGTTATAAGTAGGATTACATCGATGACAATTCCAGCGATGTATGCGAAGATGACAGGAAGAAGTAGATTATGATTGCGCTGTAATTATGAATTCAACAAAAGATTGTTTATAATTAAGTTTAATGGATGATCACTTACGTTATTGATTCCAACAAGAAGCAAAGAATAAAGAATAAGGCCCCCTATGAGTAGAACAATTCCAATTGGCTTTACATCCGGATTTACTGAAAATCATTAATATTAGGAATGAATTGAAGATATTAGTACTGTTTAAGAATAAATATTTAATACTTACTCTTAATGTTAGGCTCGATACATGATACTTTGAAGTCTGATGATTGCTCATCACTGATTGAGCAATTTTGTGTTTCAATTTCTATATTGAAAGAACCAATTAGAAGAATAACACCTCCAATAATACCAAGCCTGTATTATAAATTAAGCTAATCAATAAAAATGTTTATCAAATATTTCAAAACTTACCATCCTAGGATTTTTCCACCAGTTTCAAGATCAAAACAGAAACATCCAGTAACCTTCATTTTTGATTCCTTGATGTTTTTAATTTCTTTTTCAACCTATAATGTTGAAAAGAATATTAAGTAATTGATCATATCAATTTTTGTTCATTAATTAATTCAAATGACAAGTTTAAATATCAAAAAATCAATGAGGGTTTAATATCAATTATTTTGTTATATATTTGCATAAATTCAATTCGTTATAATCACCTTTAATTTAAGCTATTTTGTAAGCAAACATTTAACAATTTTAGCCTTATATATCACGTCTATTTAATTAATTTCTTCTGTGACAATTTTTTGCGCTGAATATTTTGTTGTCATTTTCTGACGAATTATTGTACAAATTATTCAAATTTTGGATAACCGTTATGAATCGCAAATTTAAATAGACATAAAAATAAATTTGGAACATACATATTTTATGTTTATTTGCGGAATTAGAATTGAATAATGCTTTTGCAATCTTAACAAATAGCACATTCGGACTTAATTATTAAACAAAAAAAAATTGAATGTTCTAAGAAAATCACAAAAATATGATCTTTTAAACATTAACATAAGAGTAGCTAACATTATACGAAGGAGGTTCATCCAACTTAATTTTTTTATATAATTCAGCAAGGACGGCAGCAAAATACAATGAAAGAAGACATTCTATAACTACAGCAATGAATATTTGAAAGACATCAGGATCAGATAATGAAAGGATAGAAATCGCGAAGAGTAAAATTATTCCTTCAAAGGCAATTCCAATGAAAATCTTGAAGATAACAGGAATGATGTAATTTTGATTCCGCTGGAATTAATAAAGTTTTCAAAATTTTATTTTGTCAAGTTTTATGGCTGTGTCCTTACATTATTGATTCCTACAAGAAGTAATATATAAAGCGCAATACTTATCAATATTGGTATAGAATATATCGGGGAGACTCCCAATAAATCGACTGTAAAGCACAAAAAGGTCAAAATATTATCTAAAGTAATTATTGACTTGCTACTTACAATTATTAACTAGTATGCATGATTTATGCTCTCCTAATGAAGTGATTGATGGTTGAGGATTTTTCAAGCATTTTTGGATTTCTAATACTGCAAAAAAAGTGGTAGGTGGAAGAAAAGCACTTCTGAAAAGGCCAAGCCTGTGTTATAAATGAAGCTAATTATTAGTGCTTTGATCACATAATTGAAATACTTACCATCCTATAATTTTTGCACCAGTTTCAAGATCAAAACAGAAGCACCCAGTAACTTTGAGCATTTTTCTTTCAAAACTGTATAATTAGGAAATGCTTAATTATCATAAAAATCCACTGAAATCATCATCAATAGATGATTTATCCCAATTTAGTTTATATTACCTATCTATTAAACAGCTGTTTAACAATTAAAGTCTTCTATTCTACGAGTATTTAAAAAGTTTTAAATTCTAAAGTCTTCTGGGCTCCAATTCTTTAAGTCAGTTTGTGTCTTCAATACAAATGCTTTAAACCCTTTTGAAATTTCTATTTACTGTTGAATTAGTTGGTTATTAAGACTGATAACTCGCTTCAAACTCAATATCAAGATTATTTTTGGAGTCATAAGATGCTTCCAGTGAGGACAAGATACATAAATATTTTTGTATGGGAAAAGTTTATCGATTATTACATTTTCGAGACATGATTAAAACTTTACTGAATCTTTATTCTTGATTTTAAAAATGATTAAAACTTTACTGGATCTTAGTTTTCAGTTCCAGAAACGATTTTTCGAAGTTGCAAAACTATCCAAGACTGCAATCTATGTTGAAGTCTGATCTACATAAAAGATTGACGAGAGCAGTAATTTGAGTGATTTTTCAATTTCATAATCTCGCACCATGAAGCGTGATCGGCTTCATTACTAGTTTCTATTTTCTGTTTGATATTTAATACCAAATATAATGTAATTTTTAAGGAACGATATCGACGTAAACATTCTCATGATGTTTATAAAAGAATTAAACCTTAATCGCTTTATATCAACAAAAGCCACACTTTTCTAAAAGTGTCAAAAAATCTGATGACACATTGCACGCGATTCGATTGCATTTCTTACACTGATTGAATATAATTTGTTAGATTAAAATGTATTTAATTTACAATAAGTCAAATATAATTTTTATTAGCATCATGTGTTGCGTAATGATATTCCTCATGATGTCCTTATCGCCACGTGTCACAGTCAAATATTTAATATTAATTTGTGGGTGAATCTCACGCACTTTACTCAACCAGCTTCACATCATAAAAAGTAATGCAATGAATGTTTTAAGGGATATTAAAAATAATGCTTGAAGATCCGCCCTTATTTTATTCACACTGTGCTACACGTTGTCTTTAAGGATGACATAAATAGGAAATTTCATTTTTAAAGCAGCATGAATAGAACTCAACATGCACGTACCCTATTAACTTTAGTCACACACTCTGATTGGACAATCATTTTCATCCCTTTTTGTGCCATTTTCTTGAATTTTCACAAAATTTACAGCATTTTGAAAAAAGATTTTGTCCAGAACAGTACGTACTTAGTTTATTTAACAAATCACAATATAATTAAAAAGAATCATAAAGTTATGACATCAAAGGAAATAAAAATCTCACCTTCAGTATCAGCAAAATCAGAAGAAGCTTTAAAAATAATCAATATGGAAAGGATTAATGAAAATTTGTCAGATGATGAAAATATGTCGGGATTTGATTCAGACTCTGAGGATGAGAACCACAATGGTAAATTAGTTGTGCTTTATGTTGAGTGCTTTAGTGAATATCTTGTAAACTTCCGTTCAGGATCATCCTCAACATGCCGTAATTCAAGCAGTAGCACATCTCAAAATAATTCTGGTGGTGAAAATTTGTTGGCGCTAGCAGCTGCTAATCCAAATCTAGCATTTGGACAAACAATAAGGAACGGAGTTGTGGTCAAGAAGATATTTACAAATACTCGAGAAAGGTAAGTTTAAGAATGATTAAGGATGAGTGAAAATTTAATTTATTTTATTTTCCGAAAGATTCAGACAGCAAAATGTCTCATCTGCATTTGCGGAACTAAGAAGAATTGTTCCAACACATCCAGTGGATAAGAAGTTGAGCAAGAATGAAATACTACGTGCTGCAATTAAATACATTCGGCTTTTAACTAATGTCCTCGAATGGCAGAAACAGCAAGAAGAAAATAGTGAAAATATTATCACAAATGGATTCGCAAGAACTGAGTCACAGCATTCTTGTGTTAATTACATCATATCCAAGAAATATGACATAACTAATCCAATTGATAAGCTTAATCATAATAAAAGCTTACTGATGATTGCACCAACTACACCATTTTCAGGATATTTCCCTAGAATGCTGGTTCCAAAGCCTAATTTATCATCCTCGCCATTTTTTAAAAATTGTAAAACGTCCTTCATAAAAAGTGAAAATGTTGGACACGGCAAGAATCTGTCGTGCACAACTAGCATTTTTAATCATCTTCTTAAGCCGGGAAATTCTAATAAGCATTATTCCACTGATTCTTATCAAAGCTCATCACATAATTTCACAGTAAAGTTTAAAACGGAAGCTGTGGAAATTAAAGTGGAAAATGAGTCAAAATCTGATGAAGAAACAAAGAAACGCAAATCATCGTCCTCAAAATTGTCACTAGAAAATCCAGCAAAAATGAGACGAAAGAATTAAACTTGTCATTATAAAAGAAATCAAAAAAGGTCAGAAAAGTTATAGATCGATTTGCTGATAAAGCCATCAGATAAGGGGCCGTTCACTTATTACGTTCGCATTTTAGGGGGGAGGGGGGTTTGAAAAATTGTAACAAAATGTAACATAGGGGGGGGGGGGGGGGGTGTCAAGAAGTATGTAACGTTCTAAAGTTCACTTTTTTAAATTTTCCACCTTTTTAATGATAACAAGGGGAGGAGGGGGGAGGGGGCGTGAAAAAAGTCATTTTTTTGCGTAACGTAATAAGTGAGCGGCCCCTAATCTCTTGTCGTCATACTTCGCACTCTATTCATTTAGTAGTAATGTTTATTCAATGTTAGTGTTAAGTCATCAATTTCAAATAATTGAATAAAATTAAAATAAACAGAAAAATAAGGTTTTGGCAAGATTTTAAGCTTCAAAATGAATCCTACAATGATTGTATTAAGCTAATTAATCAAAATTCAGTATATTGAAAAAGTGAAAAACGTAACGGATGAAAATAATTCAAATTTCACACAGTAGATTCGTGTCGTTGTTGCGCAAAGTTCAAAAAATAATTTTTTCTCAGTTCAAAAAAAGAAGCAAAAATTTATCAAGAAAAAATAGTGAATTATTAAGATTTTAAAGTTTCTGGATTATATTTAAATTAACAAATATCAAAAATGGTAAGATAGAGATACTTTTTAAACGATTGATATGAAATTTGCATGAAATAGGCAAAAAATTGAGCTGAAAATCGATTGCAAAAAATTTTGCCTTAAAAAGCACAAAAAAAAAGTTTCTTGAATTAATTTGATTAGTTAAAATTTATTATCTAATTGTATCTTAATTACACTCTTATTTAAAGGGAAATGAAACATCACTACCTATGGAGCTATGCTCAAATTGTAAGTATAATTTTCCAACCCCGAGAAGAAAAAAAAGATCCAGTGGAAAGGAAAAATATAGTCATAAAAAAAAATTAAAAGAGAAAAGAAAATTTACAAGGAAAAGAAGAGGAAAAATTACTTCTAGTAGTGTGAAAATTTAACAAAACATCCAAGTATATTATTATCATTTAAAGTGTCATTATGTTTAATATCTCTAATGCAACGAATTAACGTCCTTAAGAGTCATGTCAAAGTTATTCTGTATTGAAAAAAGCTCTACACTGGATGTTGTTTGAAAAAAAGGGTCACAAAGTCAAGATTTAAAATTGCAATGCAGTGAAAACAATATGAATATTTTTGTTGATTCAGCTTTTTGTACGTCGTTGACTATTATTAAGTGCGTTCCATTTTATGTGATAAGAGAATCAGCTAAAAGTGAAACAATTTTAATCATAATTATTAATCAGAGATGAGGATAATATAATAGAAGTTTAAAAGTTCATAATTGAAGAGAAAAGCTTCATATAGAGTGAGAAATGATTCAAGTGCGCAAGGTGACGAAACGTAAAGAAGATATTAAGGAAATTGTGATTAACGCATAAACAGTTGTGAACTAATCCTTTGATCTACACAACAAAATCTTATTAGACAAAAATATAATAGTAGAATGGAGCCTTGACTGTTTAAAAACTACTTAGTACTACTTCCACACATCTCCAAGTTCTCTTTGCTTTTTCTAATTAGTTTGCAAAGGCGCAGAAATGTTTACAAAATAAATAAATTTCTTGCTGTATTTATACATAGACATAGATATGTACATTTCGGAGAGGTGTTTCTGTTGAGTTTCTTTTGTATACAATCTCTCCGACTAAAAAGTATGAGACTTATGTTTAATCTTGTCCGACAAATGTGAGAAGAAAAAGAAGAAAAATCCATGTTTATAAGAGATAATTTGTTCTTTATAGAGCTAGTCTAGTGTCTCATAATTAAATAGTTAATTTTTAAAGAGATTATTGCTCAATTAGTAAGCGACTCATACATTCGTTTATAATTTATTTCAGGAATGCTTTGATCAGCTTCCAAAAAGTTTCGTATGAATTATACATTTTTTTTGGATCAATAATTTGTGTCGACAAAAGACTTCATCTTAGCTCAATTAAGAGTTTTTCTATGAAAAGCTGCTTAAAATTAAGAAAATCGATTCATAAAGAATCTATTATGTATCAGATAGCATCTAATATTTCAACATATGTATGCTGTCTAAATAAAGCTCCTTTTTGTGGAAAAAAGAAGCACATAAGGAATTAGCAACTCCAATAAATTAATTTAATTGACACAACATTTACTTCACTGGTAATTACCGATCGAAATGCGATAATTAATTGTTTATCTTTTCGACAAGTCATGTGATGATAACAAGAAAAGAGCCTTTTGCAATTGTTATACAATTTATTGAATCTATCGCTCTATATATTCATCATTTTCAACAGCATTTGTGCTATTTAATATAAACAATTTTCCATTCTTTCTTAGGGAGAGTCAAATGTTATTTTAAGTATGGGGTTGTTTAAAAGTGGTGTCATACTTTAAGTGGGATATTCTGATGCTGTAAGACACTCCTGGTTTTTTTTAACAGAAGGGGAAACAAATCACATACTTTGATCAACGTTTTCTATGAATAAACCTCATGCATGCTTTAAACGAATACACTAACATAATGCCCATAGATGTGTATAAATCCTTGTCTCCAAATAATAATATATTGAATGCCTGATTCTATGTCAGTCAGCTGTAGTAAACGTAATAAGAGAAGTACTCTTGAAATTATAAGTAGCGCTGTCATGTGGGAAGCAAAAGCGTGTGTTCTCGTTGAATAGAAAAAGGTGAAGAAGAGAGTAAAATAAGATATCATGAGATTTCAAGGAATGAAAATAATTCCTACCAAGTTTATGGCTGTGTAAATATTCAGTTAAATATATTATAAAGTTTTTATTTTTTTCTCACTCTTCTTAAGTTTATTTTTGTAGAATCAATTTGGCAAAAAAGTTTTCATAAACATTTACAGTGTGAGGAAGATTAATTGAATTTACAGAATTCTTGAGATTTCGTCGAGTAATTATGGATGTACTACAAATGCATTAAAGTGAATAATTAAAAGAGATTAACTGCTCTTGCGGCCAGTGAATGACAAAGAAAAAGTTCTTGATTGACACGTGCCATTTATTTATTCATGAATGGCATGTACAGAGACTGTCGTTTGATTACTAAGAAGAGAATTTCTATCTCAAATATCATAATCTTATTTAAGGTAAAGTTATTAGACTCAAAAAATTAGTCGCTATGCAAATCGCCATAGATACAAAATCCTTCAATAATTCAAGATAAACTCAAAAAGCATGAAATTGTTCATTAATGATGTTCAATATTTGGTAGTAAAGGGGTTAGGGTGGCGACTTTTTCATCACTTTATGCCAGAAAAGGGTTCTACTCTCAAATTCTTCTTGTGAAAGGGGTTCTTAAAATCACATTTCATGATGGATATCACAATGGAACAACCCCCGAAATCCTATCAAATTAGTATCTTTGTTAATTGAAGGCTCATAATGTAACCAAATTTTCTTAATTAAAGAAGAACACGAAGTTCTAATAGACTAAATGAAATTACTGTCATGACCTATTCAGAATTTAATAAATTTACATAAAAAAATCACATTATTTTTTAATCAACTAAAGCATTTTCTTCCTCCATAACATGGAACAAAACTTGTATGCGTGGCTTAATGTTATTAAATTATTTTTTTTATTTTTTTCATTTTCATGATAATAAAAAATTGGAGTTCTTGTGGGAACAATGTTGTTGCTGAAGGAAAAAAAATTAAAGAATGGCACAAAATTATGTTAATTCTATTTTGATATGAATGAAGTCATGTCTTTTGGCTTTAAGAAGCTTTAACGATAAAAAGTTTAAAATTATGATCGGCCTCGCTGATATATGAGAGATACATTTGTGCCTGTATGTCTGTTTACTAGTCAGCTAGGGCAAAATCTAATGTCTATTTTGGGGATAAAACCTAAGTTTACACCAGATGCTGAAAAATGCGCATTAAAGCTTCTCTTCCTCAACATTTTAATAGCAAATGTTAAAATTTTTCATGACATTTTATGACTGAATTTATAAAAACAGAAATGATTAGCCTGTTTTAACTCATCTTGTGTATCATAACTTTTGTCCTCGACCATGTGCCATCGGTTGTCATTAAATGCTGTCCAATAAAAAAATATGAGCACATGCTGCAATATTTATATACAATTTTGGGATGGTAAATAAGGGAGCTTTGGTTTTGCGGCTTTTTCTGTGCCAAATTGAATAAGATTATACATTCTATCTAACTGATAAGATAGCTGACTGGAATTATTAAATTAATACACGCTGCATGTGGCGTATGCCGAGTAAAAAATTTGTTAATCAGTCGATAAAAAATCAGCAGCTGAATTAAGTTTCGAGTGGATTTTCTGTCAAGGTCGTTTCTGTTTATAATCATCGGCTTGTAAAATGACGAGGTGCGAAGCTATATTTGTAAGATTACAGTCAATCTCAACGCATAAAGTTGGAACTATACATCAATGTGTTAATAAATCACTTAAATGTGATAAATTAATTTTTAACTACAAAAATGCTCACATTTCAATTCGATTTTCTATAGCACTGAAATACAGCTTCTTCATTGAAATCCTAGTGAATGTTTATGCTGTAGACATCAATGAAAATTATTTCAATGACTTTGACAAGATAAAGAGAGAGGAAAATTGAGCAGTAAAAAATGAAATATTGATGAAGTGTCACATGAACATGTTCATTACTATAGACAAACAATTGCCTTTAAAAATCATATACACAATGCGCCCACAACTATTTTATTCTCTGTTATTTTGAATCTTTAAGTTTTTGTGAATGGGGAACTCATTTTGTCCTTGAGACTTAGAAGAATATCAACAAAACATTTGTTATTGAATGAATATGTATGCATCAAAGGTTCTGTCTTTATTGTGTGAGAGGAGAATATCAAGTAGATTGGGATTTTTGGAATTAGGATCAGGGGTTGTTCTAGAATGTCGTCAATCAGTTGTGTCTGAGATTTTGTGAAAATACAAATCAATTGTAATTACATTGTATCTAACGTCAAACCACTCAAACATGCCGACTAGATATTTTCCTTTAATCATAGACTGCGCTCAAGTCAATTATCCTTAATATCTTTCCCAAAATTTCCTCACATACCTTAAAACATATTTGAATATTTCTTTTATTTCTCTTATTCTGTCAAATGTCCACAAATAACTTTTTCTCTTTCATCAACATCCGAATAGTACACACGGCTAGTGAGAGAAAGTGGGATGGATGTGAGCAAATTAGTAGATTTTTTAATAAATAATAAGAACAAAAAATTATTGGCACAGATTAGATTAGCATTTTGAGATAATTCTTGTACTGCAGAAGAATGTGGCGACAAAAAGTTAATGCACAATTTCCTTTCTGATCGCGCATCGTTTCATGATGAAAAGTCTTTTTATGGACGAAAAATTGGCAATAGATTTGTGTTACCTGTGACAATTCACATGTCATTAAATGCTCCTGAAAGTGGCAAGTCACAAGAGTCAATTCTTGAAAGAAAAATAATGTAGTTAAGGTGAAAACCTCGTGCCACTTAATTATTGTAACAATATGAGCAAAGTGATCGCGAGTGAATGGATGTTTTGTGTATGTAGACTTACTTGACTTAGTAAGCTGTTGCTATTTTTAATCATTTTTTCTCTTTTCTTTTCTTTTCCTTCCTTTTTTTGTTGTTTACAATATGAAAAATCGTAAATTTTTCTTAAATGATTTAAATTTCTCGATTTAACTAGACATAAATCCTTGTCCCTAAAATGACACTTTTTCTCTTTCTCTTTTCATATTTCAATTTGCAATCATGATTGCTTCTGAAAATCCAATCATATGAATCATCATTTACAACATGTGTGCCTACTAAATTCGTAAAATAGTCGATGCCGATGAGATTCGTCGTTTAGGTAAACGTTTTAAGAAATTGGACTTAGATAACTCCGGTGCATTGAGTATCGATGAGTTTATGTCGCTGCCAGAATTACAACAAAATCCTCTGGTACAGAGGGTGATTGATATATTTGATGCGGATGGGAATGGTGAAGTAGATTTTAAGGAATTCATTCATGGTGTGTCGCAGTTCAGTGTGAAAGGAGATAAATTATCAAAGCTTAAGTTCGCTTTTCGCATCTATGATATGGATAATGATGGATTCATTTCGAACGGTGAACTCTTTCAAGTGAGTGTTGGCTTTTTAAGTATCTTTTTTGCTCAAATTCGTGTTTGTTGATTTCGGAAATTCTGGGAATGATTGATTACATTTTAGGAATCCATATCTAATCTAATCTTTAGATAGCTTTAGTATTAAGTTTTATATTGATGATTTTTCAGCAATCTAGTGTTACTAAATTATCAGCATTGCAATTGATGTAGTCATTGACCAAAGAAGCTTGAAAATTACAGTTATGATTTAGAATTGTTTTAAATGAACACGAATTTAAGCAGAAACATCGAACTTACAAGATATAAATTCTATGAATATTTCTTAATTCCAATTAAAAATCCAGGTATTGAAAATGATGGTTGGTAATAATCTTAAAGACGCCCAACTCCAGCAGATAGTTGACAAAACAATTGTATTCGCTGATAAAGATGAAGACGGAAAAATATCATTTGATGAATTTTGTTCAGTAGTTGGCAATACAGATATACACAAAAAGATGGTCGTCGATGTTTAATTGTGCTTATTTCGTTCTCGTGTGCTTCGTCATTACTTTTTTGAATTAATTAAAGTTTATTTTTATTTTTATTAAAAAAAAGTTTAGCGGAAAAAAAATTATAAAAGTTTTATTATAAAAAGAAAATCCTATAAAAAAAAAATCTCATCATCTTTCTCATTGTAAGAGCGCTGTCAAAACACTCATTAACTTTTACTTTGAATGATCCAGAAAGAAAGATAAAATAATTAAACAAATTTTTTATAATTTTAATGGTTTTTGTGTTTAAGTCTATTTAACTACAAATCAGTAAAATAAACAACCCGCCCTCTTTTTATGACATATTCTGATAATTCTATTCAAACACACCGCAACTCAAATGAGTATGTTGTTATGCGAATATCATGAAATTGATTTATAACAGCATCTTAAAAAAATATTAATCATAATCTTATCTATTGAGGAAGAATATAAAAACATTAATTAAATTATTGAAATTTTAAGGTGAAGAAGATGAGTCTTTTTTAACTTGTTCTTTAAGCTTAAGTGAAAAAAAAAAACATGAAAATATTTAAAAAAGAAACTAAAAACTGAGAAAAAATTATTATTGAATTATTGATATACTAAATATATTATTATATAATATAATCTTAACAGCAATTGCTGAAAATCAATCGTGTGCTCATCTCTAGTGTTCGATTGATTTGCAGCAATTCGAGAATGATAAAAGATAATGCAAATATTCTAAGCACCTTTAAAAATAATGTTATTTTTTTTTGTACACACTTCTTTATGATTATATTCATTCGTGAATGTTTACACCCAATATAAATATATTTTTGTCTTATTTTTGAAAAAATACAATTGCCATCAGATTTATCAGTTCATAATTATATTAATGAGGCATTAAGTCTTGAATCAAGTTGCTTAAAAAGAAATGATTTGATGCCGGAGTGTGCAATTGATAGTTTTCGTTGGATATCCTCTCAAGTTAAACTTGAGAGTGATATAATTGTCATATTATCAAAGTTCCTTATTACTTTCAAATACATATTCACTATTGGAGATGAAGAAGAGCTGCACAAGAGATTAGCGGAGCTTGAAATCGAGTTTAGTTAAAACAGGGTTGGTTTGGAGCTTTGGAGACTATTCAAATACTTGTGGATGTTCTTTCACAAGTATTGATGTAATTTGAGGAATAGAAAGCTCATGAAAGCTTCAATATTGGAAATTATTGAAAAGTATGAGAATTAACCTCTTGTGTAGCTTTGCTAGATCAAAATTCTAAGCTAATTACCCGCAATTCAATCAAATGTTTATACGATTTTATCATAATCTCACTGATGGTGAATCAAAATCTCTAAACTAATTTAAATAATTTTTTTTTCTTTACTGCTTTATTGATTTTTCGTGATAATTTAATTTCTGTATCTTTCTTTAAGAGAGTTTATTGTAGAAATCAAACTTAATATACTTATAAAGACCTGTTTTGCACATAATTATTCGAAAACATATAGATGTGAAAATAAATTAAAAAATTATGATAAGTAACAGATCTATCCGTGTACGGGACGATCAAATTGCGTATTTTTGCGAGATGAACTCAGTACTTAAGTTCTTGGATGTTGAATTTTTTCAGTCAGCCAGCTGACAAAAGTGATTACATGAGTGCATCGCAAAAATACCCAAAAGTATATTACAATATAAATATATTTAAAAGATGAAAAAAAGAAACAATTAAAAGAATTTTCAAATTTCCTTTTGAATTTATGCATAAAAAAGAATAAAAATAGATGAAAAAATATTCTTTTCCAATTTTCTCCTTTTTTTCAAAACTTTTGAATGTGAAAAATTCAGTGTGAAAAATAATAGAAAAGTAAATTAAATAAATTTTTTAAAGTCTTTTTCCGGTAAAAAAAGTAACATAAAAGCACTCACCGATAAGAAACAATGAACAATTTAAGAATTATTAAAAATGTCAGTTGGCACTCGAGAGTGGGTTTCAATAATGAAATTTATGCTATCTGAATTTTAACAAAAACAAATATTAAGGCACACAAATTAAGAAAAGCAATTTAAATTTCTTATTTTAAAAATTCAGGACAAAAACATAATGTTCGACTTTATTAAATGTGCAAACTTAAACATTAATTAATCAAATATGAGATTTATCACAGAAACACATTTGTCTCGTTTCATTGATATTTAATCATTTTTAAGAAAGATAAACAGTTTAAATCGATTTCATATTTAAGGTATACAAAAACATGGTGAAAGTTGATTTTTAAACGATTTGGGAACTGGCAATTATCGTGCTGGGTACAAAAGGTCGAGGAAGTGTATCATCCGTTTAATAACTTGTAGAGCAACCAACTTCGATATCAATTCCAGGTCACCTTCAGTTCAGTTTTGTTAAGAACCTGTTGCGACACATTCTTGTGACATGCAACATTGACTAAGAATCAGTGTGACATGCAATATTGACAAAGAATCAGTGTGACATGCAAAGATTTGTTAAGAACCTGTTGCGACACATTCTTGTGACATGCAACATTGACTAAGAATCAGTGTGACATGCAATATTGACAAAGAATCAGTGTGACATACAAAATTGACCACGATTCAGTGTGACATGCAACATAAGTTAAGATTGTGTTATTTTATCTGAATAAAATTAAATTAAGTTGGTAATAATCTTTACTGCCAACATCAAAAGATTCTGAAATTCAAAAGCCATAAACTACTATCGATTCAGAAATAATTTGCCAGTTCTAATCAACATTTTCAAGTAATTTATTATTAAAAAGTGTTAAGGTTTCGAAAGGAAAGTGTTTTGAAAATTAAGATAAAAAATATCCTTTTCATTCTTCATGCTTTCATGCATAAAAAAAGGTTTTTTCGAGTATAAAAATTTTAAATTCATTATTACGAGAATGGAAGTTTAAGCAAAGCATTATCAAACAAACAAATCTATTTGATTATTATAATATGAATATAAAAATTAAGTAAATTACCACTTATAAAAAAAAAAAGAAAGAAAAGAAAGTAAAAAAAAAATATTGAAAACCTTTATATACTTTTTAAAAGTTTCTATTCAATTTCAAAGAAAAAAAATGATGATGATAAAAAAACTTAACAATTTAGAGAGACGTCTAAACTTATTACTTTTAAACTATTAAGTACCAAATTTTCCACAATTTTTCCTCGTCATTAATCAAAGTTTTTTGTCCACGTGTGTTCAAAACGAATCTTCAAGCACCAAACTTAAAGCGGTGGCATTAAGACGCGTTAAAATACGAAAAATTTTGTCTAATGGATGGGAAAAATGGTGGAAAATTTATGATGAAAATCATAGATAGAAATCCCTTTTTAAATTAAACGAAAGAATTGACTTAGGAGTGACTTTGATCAATCGAAGGACTTATTAAGTCCTGGATTTTAAATCTGGGAATAAGTTTGAATCTTAAGGGTTTCTCGAACTTCTAAGAATTTTGAGCTGCAGAAATCCAAAATCTGAAGCTTATATGTTGATTTATCCACAGATTATTTTTAATCTTTTACGTAAAATTCGAACAGAACATCATGATATTGACTGTCATTTTCATGATGTGCTCGCTACGTAATCCACGAATCAAGTTAAACTTCGATAGATCTACAAAAAGTCTTTCCTTGATTAAAGTCAATATCCTAACCGAAAACAACATTAAAGTGGAGGAAAATTTTTATCACTAGACGAGTCTAGCAAGCTTCACAGCATTGAGTGAATATAATTAATAACGTAAATATCTAGTCAACGCAATTAAATTGTGCTCGAATGGAATGGAGTGTAAAATTTTTCTCCATGTCACGCACTCACACCCATACATACACACACACACACACACACACACATATTTTTTTCTATGTACTTCCTTAATATTGACCCTTATCTCCTTTTCTTTTAATGATAAAAAGACAATTTTTTAAAATATTTTTTTCCTGTTTTTTGATACTTATTGTTGCTGTTTTTCCTTACCATTTTTTTCTATTAATTTCGTCTTTTGTGTATTGTCGAAGAAAAAGTTCTATTTATCATAGTCAGTTGAGAGTTGGACTATTCATGGTATTTTGGTAATGCTTTAAGTCTTATTATTGAGTTTGGATTATGCTTCTAATTCTATTTAAAGTTCTTTGAACTTAACTTGAAATTGATATTTTTGAACAAGAACTGTAGTCACAGCTTAATCATGCTATATGTGGTGCAACATTATTGACACATTGGTATGACATGTGACATATGTCACATGTGTCAAACACATTTTGTGTCACAGTATTCAAAATTTATGCTAGTAAAAAATACTCAATGGCTATCAAAAGTATCCTGGAAATTTGTTTAACAGATCAATTGATTCTCTTTGATGGCGCCTAAACCTTAAAAGGTCGTTCCAAAAGAGACCAAAAATATACCAATTAATCATGAAATGTCCAAAACTTGACACAGAGTTTAAAATTTTAAATTTATTAAAAATCAAATTTTTTCAAAAATAAACTTAAACAATGCGAAAATGTTTCGTTGTAAATTTCTGAAAAAAACAATTAAAAACACACAAAAAACAACTCACAGAAGTCGTTGTTGTAAAATCAAGAATATGAAAAAAAATTGTATGTGGTTTAGCTTAATTAAAGAAAAAAACATTAAACTGAAGAAAATTTACCTTGATTTATGTTATTTCCATACATACACACTTTTTACTTTTTATTGTTGACTTTTTCAGATTCTTATACCTGAAGCTTTTTAAAAATAAATGTAAGAAGAAAAACAAAACAAAAATTGTGTACTTTATACTTACTTCTTTGCATACTTTACTTCCTTTATCAAACTCTAGAGTTCCAATCATGATTATAATCTTGGAAACAAGGAGAATCCAGGGTTGATATCTTTTCATTTAAGTCAGAGTGGATGAAAGATACAGGAAGTTCTCATTAAATGAGTCACAGGTATCCTTAACAAGTCCAGACTATTCTCGAAATGGTAGCAGTGTTAAATTTTCTATAAATCCGTAGATACTAATTCATTCATGCCTCTATTCGTACATGCTTCATTCCTAAAACAATTCAAACAGCTCTGACGAAAAAAAAACTCTCATCCTAAAGTGTCTAAAAGAACATACTTCTGATTGAATTATTGTGTAAACGCTTTCAAATTCTAATAGAAAATGTTGAGTACCTCTCTTTCTCATCTCAGATATTGAGCTTATCAGATACAGACAGATGAAATTGAATCATAAAATGAAATTTGTTTGAAGATTTTCCAGATTAGTTTTTAAACATTTACTGATGTCTTATTGTTCTGTGTATCATGTAAGGCTGATTCACAGCTTGTGTGGTTTTAATGGCATAATTGCATGCTTAATCTGCTTTAAGATTTATCACTTATTAAATTATGATTTGCGACAAAATCAGCGCAGTATTAGAGTTGAATCTTCGTATGCCTTAAACAACTGTTCTTTAGTTGAATTACCGTTTTATAAATCTAGCTATGGAACCATCAACTCAATAAAAAGCTTTACCTTGCCATAAGTACGAATAAAAATATAATAAATTTTTCCAGCACAAACTCAAAAAGTATGAGAAAAATTCAAATCATCAGCTTCGAGCATCAAATTTAAAGCTATTATTCAAAAATAATGTAAATCCAGCAGAACGAGAAAAGAAAAATAAAGTCAAACTTTTTACATTTTGATTAGATTTTGCTTACAAGCGGAAGCGTTAAAGATAACATCACGTCCATGACGTATGGGTGGGAGTTGTTTCTAGACATTATCTTCTTTCGTATTCACAATTTTGCATACATTATTCAGGGCGGATTATTTGTGTCAAGGTTAGTAAAGCATTTGCATACTTAGAAGATACAGAATGTGAAATGTTTGCTCAGGTTTGCTAATGAAGCCTCGCTGTTGACTTTGCTGTCAATTTGACCTTTTTTAATGTAGAAGCGGGATCTCGCAGTTATTTTGATGAATAAACAGACATGATTAGTTGTCCACAACATCACATTCTAGAATCACAAATATATAGCAATTAATTGTGACTAATTTGGTTTATTGATTCACATCAATTTCTACTTTATTAAACATATTTTCTTTCTCATGATAATTAAGGTAGAAATGCTAAATGTTTGACACAAAAAGTTTATAGAACGTGTACCTTACAATTACATTCTATTGTATGGCTATAGAATAATATTGATCTGATTTATTTTCTGGCTACCAATTATTATTTTGTTTCATTCAATTCATTCTGTTCCTTTTTTGATCCTTTCTCAGTTCCTACAAGTTGTTTAACATTTTTCAACTACAATAAATCAATCAAATCGATTCTACATATCTTGTAACAAAAAACTATCTCTCTTTCAACTTTGGAATGTTCATGATCCTTAAAAGTACTATCTTTAATGTCATATAATCATAATTGATATAAAAAAGCTGAAAAACTACTTTGTTGAGTATAAAAATTTTCTAACATCAAAAATATTTTGTTTTGTGCCACTTAATCTGCACAAGCATTAGAAATGTATAAAAGGGAGATTGCACTTAAATCTAAATGGAGTGGAGTGGAAATGTGTATGTGATTAACATCAAATTTATGTATTTATTCTTCTTTCCCATCATTGATGCACCATAATGTTTACTTCTAGGCAAATTTTAATTTTATATGTAATGTTTTTTGATCGTGAATTAAGGAACAAAGCTTGGGTATTCCACAAAATAACTTTTGGTCTCAATCATGTTCATTAAACTTCGAAAAAGAAGTATTTGGCGATTACTTATATTACTTACACAAAGGTCCGTTGCTAGAATGCAGCCTAAAAGACACCAACTTAATTGATCTATATCCTAAGGAATACCCAAGATATATTAAATAAATGCATTGTTTAACTTTAAATAATAATTTTGAACGTAATTAAATCTTAAATGAAGAATCTCGCAATGAGTAAGATCAAATTTAGTCAATAAAGGTTTAGAAATCTGGAACTGAATGATCCATTTTATCTTTGATGAATGATGATGTTAATCTAAAATAATAAAGTATAAGATTAATTATCTAAAACAATCCAGAAATCAGCATTAAATCTTACTTCTTTATCATGTGATCATATAGGAATGTTGGCATTATTGTGATAGTCACTACTCGATCAGCTGTCTGGATAATCTTTGTAATTTCCTTGTCTTTCATTCCAATCTATTAAAAAAGACATGGACAATGATTTAATTAATGCAAGAACTATTGAATAAAAAGCAAAACTTACCACATTCTGTCCATCAACTTCCAATAATTGATGATCGATAAGTAGTCCGTTTCTTGCAGCCGATGAGTCCTTGACAATTGTTACGATTTTTCCATTTTTGAATTGAAATCCAACACAGCCGGTGCTATCTTTATGTAAAGTCACAGTTCTCTCGAAAGGTCGATCGCGAATAACAACTGAAATGTTATTGGCATTTGATTTTCTTAATAATTTGTGGACATCATCGACTGAATATCCTGCAACTGTTGTTCCATTAATCTGAAGAATTTGATCACCAAATCTGAGACCAGCTAATGCTGCTGGAGAACTCTTAATGACCATGCATACAAAAACTCCTTTGTTAATTCCTTGTGCACGTAATCCAACTTTACCGTCTTGTCCTTTACACAAAATTAATTCACGAATTCCATTTGTTGATGCTCCTGCTCTGGCTAATCCAAGTGAATTTCCACTTAACGGAGCTAACATATTATTTGGCATTGATGGAGCTACATATGTTGTTAATTGTTGATTGCCATTTCGAAGATACTCTGGCATATTTGCAGCAATGACATCTTGTGATAATTCTAAGCCCATATAATCAATGAGATCAGGATAGACTGGTGAATTAATTGGTGAATGTGAGTGTAAAGGCGGTGCAGATGGAACTCCAGATGAATTTAAGATCTGTTGCTGGGCGATGGCATCAAATGCACTTATTTGTGCACGAATAGTCTGATCAACTTTCATATCTTCGAGAGATGGATATAACGACATGTTTGGTGCTTTTAATTCTACTGGTAATGAAAAATAAATGAATTTTAATAAACAAATAATTGATCAGCTATTCTACACACTATGAATCATGTCAAATCGATTTTTTCAGTTTTTCTTCTTCTTCTTTGAGAATTTCCATGATTAAATCTCTAAGCGGTAAGTAATAATCAAAAAATTCTCGTAGATCACAACGTGGGAATGAATCCATCCATTGTAGACCGATTTTAGTGAAAAGTTGTGCGAATCTCGTTGAGAAAGTTGAAGTTTTTGTCAGTTATTTCTTTATTTCACAGAATGAAAGTTTAATTAAATTGACATATTCAGTTACTGTATTTGACTTGAAATTTTAATTCATTTTCCTTCGATAAATTGAGATTTCCTCCCTTATTGGATCGTCGAATTCTGGATTTTCCACATTCATTCTGACTGTACTAACATTAGATTCTCGCACAATAATTCTAGATAATTGACCAGGCAACAACTCTCCATCTACGAAGATTGAGTCATCCTCAAAATTATTATTGCTTCGCACGAAGGTATTAGTATTGTTTCTTCGAGCATAATTATTCGTTCTCAATTCGTCATTGCTTCCATTTATTGATCCACAATTGGATGCTGTTTCCATCGTTTCGGTGCTTTGTTTCAAGTCTTCTTTGTCATGAGGATTCGTATTTTTCCGAACAACATCAAGATCTTTCCGGAAATTATCTAGTTCTTTACGTAGTTTATCAAACAGGTATGAGTCAATGCATATTTGTGTTGTTCCACCGTCTTCCTTTGAGATTTCAATGTCATTCTCAACTTTTTCCTTTATTTTATGTATTATAAAATCTTTGTTTGGAAAAAATTGCTCAACAAAGGTTTCTTCATTGAATTTACCAGATTTGACTAATCTTACGCCGACTTTAATCAAGTGCTTAATATACTTGTCACGTTGAGTCAGGAGAAACGAGTTTAAGCACTTAGAATGGTTAACAGAATCCATTATAATAATTATCAGTACAAATAAACTGATAAGAAGATCGTTTAATTATGGTAAAATTATGAAAATTGCTTACTGAGAGCATTACATTTCGTCACAATTATTAATATGAATCATCAAATGGGAAAGAAAAATCACTTGTTTGTGATTCATGATTTTTGTTAATTACTGATTACTTAAGATAACAGATTTATCGTGGAAACTATCAATGTGCGATAAGATTTAAGTATTCCGGCAAACATAAAAGTGTTTAATTAAGGATATTTAATATACTTACATTCCAAAAGATTCAAGAGACAACAAAGAAACTGATTTTTCTCACAGAATCAAATGTTTTTCTACAGTTATGGCACTGATTTGATGATCTCAATGCTGCAAAATCCTTTATAAGCACAACACAATCAAATAATCAAGTCTAAAAGCAGTGAAATTAATTTATTTAATAATACTAGAACATCTCTTTCAACTGACTATATAGTGAATGAAATGCGAATCGATTTATTCAAATATAATAAAAGCCGTTAATTTTATGCTGAATTGAGCTGAATTAGAGAAATTCAAATTTTTATTTTAACTGTCAAAAATTATTTCATTTTCATGGAATTCTCGTTTATTGTGTCTTAATGTGGAATGCATGATGAAATTTCAGTCCTTTTATGCTGTTCACTTAATACGTTCGCATTTTAGGGGGGAGGGGGGTTGAAAATTTGTAACAAAATGTAACATAGGGGGGGGGGGGGGGGTTGAAAATTTGTAACAAAATGTAACATAGGGGGGGGGGGGTGTCAAGAAGTATGTAACGTTCCAACTGTCGTCTGTCTTTTAAAAAAAGCTCACGAAAAAAATTGGTTTAAAAATTCACACCAAAAACATTTTTTTTAAATTTTCCACCTTTTTAATGATAAAATAAATTATGAACGTTCAGGGGGGGGGGGGGGTTATTGTAACAAGGGGGGGGTGTGTGAAAAAAGTCGTTTTTTGCGTAACGTAATAAGTGAACGGCGCCTTACTAAGGGTTTAATGAAACTATTTTTAAAATAAGATATATATTTTTAAGGGTCCAAAATCTTCATTTAGATGAGTACTAATGTCATTCAAAGACTGCATCTTGAAGAATATAAATAGAAAAAAATTACTTAAGAAATATTTAATTCATTGCCATTGAAATGTATTCAATGCTCTATTATTCTCCATATCAAATGAATTCGTTGTTAAATTGAAATTTTTTTTATTTTTTATTTGCACAGCTTGTGTCAAGTAAGTCGGAGAGATGCTCCTTGTATTAAGAAAACTTAATATCAGTTTAAGCTCGTATTAAGAAGATAATAGTCCATTTTAAGTAGCTACTAAATTATAATTATGAAGTTTATTGTTGTAGTGCTGTTTTTGTTATTTGCATTGGTAATTATGGAATGTTGGATGCAGCATCAGGGTCAATCACTATGATTTTTAATGGGAATAAGGTTTAGAGATGTCAGGTCGTAGGTAGCAAGATGTTTGGGACTAGAATTTTTTGAAAAGGAGCCTTAAATTCACATATTTTCCTTGATACCATTTGTGAACGACTCTGAGTAAAATGAAAATTGTTAACAAAAATATCTTATTTAAGGTTCACGGAGGATTAATTGCAAAAAAAATATCCAAAGAAAAAACGACTGAAAAAACAGCACCTGTTGAAAATGTTGACTTATCGAATGAGTCAGGCGACTTAATAGTCGATGAAATTGTTACAGAAAGCTCTACAAATAGGAACGAAGATGAAGCACATACAGAAGAACCTCCACTAAGTAAGGATGACAAGGTGAAAAAAAGTGAGAAATTGACAAAATCGGATACAGAAAACATAACTGAGAAGCCAATTAAAGCCACAGAAAAGCCAACAAAAGATGAAGAAAATAAACAGGCAGCTCACAATCATGATGACACTCCACTGAAAAAAGTTGCAAACAAACTAGAAGAAGAGTTGAAAAAAATTAAGGATGAGCCCTTACCTACACAGAAACCAACTCAAGCAACAACATCTTCCCCTGCAAACCCTAAAAAGTCATCAAAAAATAATGCAACATCAAAAGATTCACGATGCTTTGTTGTGCTTACTTCATTTGTAGTAATCTTAATTGCAGCATTTTTATAAAGCTTTTTAAACAAAACTTAGTTTCTCATACTTCATTTCACATTAGAAATTCTAGAATTAACATAATTGTACTGAAAGCTTCTTAGTTGAAACTGAATTGAAAGCGTTAGATAAAAACAAAATTCGATACAAATAAATAGACATTGTTCAACAATAAAATGCTCAAATATTTTGTATTTTCCTTTGTCAGTAAACAGCTTGTCACATGTTTAGTGAATAGACTTCTTCTCATGCTGTCAATAATGTCAAGAAAATTGACTCATTTAAAAAATATTCAATTGTCTTTTTTAAGGGAAAAGTGCTTGAAATTTGTCAACATAGATCATGTCTTAAGGTTTTCGATTTAATACTAGGTAGCTAACGTTTGATATTTTTAAGCTCTTTAACTTTTGAGATTTTAATTCCTCAATTTCTATTTTACAGCACTTTTAAGAATGGGACGGAAAGATTCTTCTCCCCTCAAGGTCAATGAAAATTTGGTAATGCTTCAAATCTTTTTTTAAAAATCGGAATTTATTTATGACCAAGCTATAAGGCAATGACCCAAAAGATATCATGATAAAACTGCAAAAAAACTAAAGACATCTCAAAAAATTCATTTGAACCAAAAAAGCTTTTAAAAAGCTCCATTAAAGATTCAAACATTTTTAAATGTTTCAAACAGTTTCAAACGCAAACTGCTCGTTTTTAATTTGTAAACTGTAAATATAGATAAAGTTGCAATAATTATAATAACACTCACCGAGATCATTAATAAACGTTTAATGTGTCGTGTATTAATTTCTTAATGTAATGACTTCATGCGATGATAAGGATAATAGTGACAACTTCCTGTCGAACTCTTTGTGATTTCACAATTAATGAATTTGTGCGAATCACAAAGTCCGAAATTTATTTAAAAATCTGAGCAAAATCAAAACATTCACGCGTAAATAAGGTATGAGCATAATAGATAATTGATGTACGTCGTCATATCAGCTGATTCAGATTAAGCATGAATCTATATATTAATTATGGATCCAACGATTAATTTCATATCAAACGATTAATTCGATAAAAATGGCACTGCCATAATTATATGAATCTACGGGTAAACTGTATACAATTCTGTGGGTAATACGCAAAAAAATATCACTTAATTAATTCACAGTAAAAGTGTTAAGGTAAATTAATATGAAAATTGGCATGTTCGTCATTAATGATATGAAAATGATGCCGTTTGCTTGATTGCAATTTCTCGCATCTCATTCTATCCAGTGTAATCTAATTCCGCTTGTCTGCCTTTTTAAAATAAAAATTTATTTGCATTAAAGGCTAATTGTTATCAGTTATTGATTTATTGACATTGACCCAGAAAAATGATGATGAGTACGATTTTTGGACAGTGAGATTTTCAGTTCATTTAATGTAACGTAATAAAAGAAAAATCTAATAATAGGTGATGCGCATTTTATGAATTCAACGACCTATGATGAATAGGAAACGTAATCACCACAAATTTGTTTTACAAACATTTTTAAAGCACGGTACTTGACTATAAAAGATAATGACTTATTTTTTCTTTGTGTCGCATTTTTGAAAATGTAAAATTTGCGACGTATTTGTGAGTTATTGATATTTATATCTAATAGTAAGTTTTTTTGGGCCAAACAATAAACTTGTTGAACCTTCCGTGTTTTGTCTACAAATGCTGAGTATTCCTTAAGTTTCAAACTATGTGGGGATTTCAGCGGCATTTACGAACAACCTAGTATCAGTTTTCAAAAGCTTTACAACAACCTCTCCAGCACTCATATCATATTAGCCGATTTGCGTCTTTAAATGCACTTTACTATCTACAAAGAACATGCTGATGCAGAAGAAAATTAAAATGGGTCAATGTATTTGAGATTCTCCTTTACAATCGAGAACTAAAAAATGCATTCAGTTTCTTGACTTGTAATTATTCACTAAACTGCAAATTACCGGTGTACACTGTGGCTGATCATGCAACATAAACGTATTGCATCAGCATCTTATGTGTTCGACAGCTACTTATAATGGAAATTTTTTTTGAACTAATTATTAACGCATGTATATTGACAATTGTTTATAATAATGTAAAGTAAAAAGCTTTGGAAAACTTTAAAAGTCGCATGTGGTTCACGGGGGTCTAAGCTTTGGATAATTGATTTTTTTATTCAAATCGTTTTTATGTTCAACGTTTAAAGAAATTTGAGTTTTTCAAGTTGATTTTTCATTCAAATCGAAGGCTTTCAAGCCATAGACCCCTATGTGGTAACTCAACAAATTGCAGTCATGCAGAAGACATAGAAAAGTGCAATAATATGAGTTTGTAGCTTCAGAAAAAAGTATTGAAATTAATCCTAAGATGTCCAATTCGTAAAAAGAAAGCTTAAAAATTCTTGTCATAATAAAATGAAAACTTTCAGGGTAAAAACGTGACTAAAAAAGGAACTAGCAAGTTTGACAAATATGCAACTACAACTTTTCAACTACTGCTATCAGTGCCATTTGAGTGAAATAACTTACTCTTTATTTTGTAAAGAGAAGAAAAAAATCTTCACAAAAAAAAGCATTCAACACACTAGTTTCAAAGTGATCAGTCGCGTATTTCAGAGACATTCGCGTCTTACTCAATGTTAATAAATTACGAAAGTTGATCATTTTCAAGTGCAATTCAGTTTAATTAAAATCGTTTTTTTATGCAACCGCAATTTTAGCAAGTACATAACACATTAGAAAGTATACATCTAATATTAATTTACCCGAGGAAGCACAAGATATTTGGATCTTTTCGAGGTTTTCAAGATGTCGCACATTTATTCTTAAAATAGTTTTGGACATACCATTTCGTGATGTAATCCTTTAGATCCAACAGCAAATATTAAAACAACTTGAATTAATCTTGAAATTCTCTTCAATTTTATTTTGGAGTCAAAATCTTTCTTCTTTTCTCCTTCTTTCTTAGCGAACCTTTGCAGGATTATTACACCTAATTTATTTTATTTAAAAAGTTACAAAATGTTTAATTCAATTATTATTTTTCTTACTTTTAGTCCTCTTTTGTGCTACACGTTCTTCTTTTTTTTTGATTAAATTCTTTTTTAGGGGTAGGAAAAAACTCCCAGTAAATTTCGAAAATTGATATGAATTTAAAAAGAACGTTTAATATTTCAAAATTAAGAAAAATGATGAAACTAATGAATTTGTATATGTTAAATAAAGAAAAATATGTATTTTTCTTTACACTCGCCACCACAAAAAAAAAGTGATGATTCTTCAACTTAAATTCTAATGCATAATTCAAATAATTAAATTTTTCATTTCATGTGCTTCAATTTTTTGGAACAAAAACAATATTATGAGTTAACGGATCTACATTTGCTGGAACACTAATGCTGACATTACGACCGAATTGATTATGCTGTTGTTGTTGATAATTATTTCGTTGAATGAAGAAATTACGACGATGATTTCCGAAGTTTTCGCGATGATTATTTAGTCCTTGACGTAAATCTTGTCTACGATTATTGTTTGGGTAATTATGTCTACGATTAGCAATTCCTCTTCGTCCTGACCTATTATTGTTATGATGTACTGTATTCTGTCTAAATTGCACTATGGGATTAGCTTGGTGACCAACTTGTCTTGCTCTTACATTGTTCTGTGTGATAATTCGATTCATACGAATAGCTTCTTCATCAATATATTCAACGTACGCTGTTGATTTGCTATAATTAGCCATAACTTGATTTAATCTTAATAAATCAATTGCAAGAACTGCATCTGTTCCTTGCTTAAAACATATGTACGTTTTGTCACGATTACACACTATGTAGTGTATAGGATGTTTGACGACGTCAATAAGCAGCAATACATCAATGATGGTACGGTTCAATCCAGTTGAGAATTGTATAACTTTCTCGTGAAATTCATCCGAATTTGTCATTAGTTTGACCTTATAAATGGAGTTGTTGAATGGAGGTGTAACAAAAAGCGCATTACTTTTGCAAATTTCGATTGTCTTGTAGTTTTCATCAGCTGATGGTTTCGCAATTGCATTCAATTGTGCAGTAAAGTTTGCGTCACGAGAATACAGATGTAAATGATATCGAGTTGTTGCTAATTCTTCAATAAAAATCCCGTTGATATCCTTAAAATTGGACTTAGTAAACTTCAGCTGCTTTCCGAGATCCACAATCACATCCTTAATATTCTTCTTAGGATGAATGCTGATGAACTTTATTAACTGCTTGCTTGAAGTCTGAAAAATATTTAAATAATAATTTTAATTGATCTATGTCAATAAAATGTGTCATGTGCACATTATTAATTATTTTTTTTTTTTTTTAAATTTCTTGTTGAAAATGTTGGGGCTTTTTCTTTGATTTTTAATTTGTTTAACTTGTCATTTCTTGACTCACTTGACTTTTAATTAAGTCAGTAATTATCGCTCATACGATAATGATTTTTATTATTTTTTTTTTAAATGTCGCTCGCGTTCATGGTGGAGAACATAATGCGACGACCATAAATGGTCTATTTTAGTTTGTGGCCATCCAGACTAAAAGAAAATGTTTTGTTTTTTGTATCAAATTTATACTGGTACCAGTTCAACGAATTAAATTTTATATTTACTTTATGCCCAACTTAACGTATTTTTCAGATTTAAATTTCAATGTATTTTTCAGATTCAATTGTTGTGACTGTAGTAGTGCAAGTTATTATTTTGATGAATATATTTTTAACGTTAAAGCATAAATTTTGAATTGTTTTAAAGCCGTTAAATTTCTGAATGTCGTTCAAATGTATATCCAGCACTTTTAATCTATTATTTTTTACTAATATGTTAATATTGAATTATTTTAACTAATATTTTCTCTTTTATACATAGCAATTAACTTAAATTAATGTTTTGATGTCGGATGTTCTAATTATTTTTTAAATATCTAAATTGATTCTAGCTACTGCTGTTGCAGGTCTAGTAATTATTGTCACGTTCTCATTCAAATAGTCATTCATCAATTTCTGTGATGACATATTTGATGATTTTGGAATGATTTTATTTCTGCCTAATCTGACAGTTACTTTTCTGACTTGATTCTGACTTCCTAAAATCGTACTTTCTATAACTCCAAGACGCCATGAATTTGCAACTGACGG